AGCAAACGAAACACTTAGCATTTCCAAATTCCTTTCACATAGTATTCAAGCAATAAACCTTCAGCCTAATGGATATATCACTTCCCTGCCTATCTCCAGATCAGAGGTTTGGCCATCATAGAATTTTCATGAATAATGCCAATGAGTGTTTAAGGATTCCTACTTAAAGAATGGGGAAGAATGTTTAATACCACAGATCTTAAATTTATACTTACAACAACATGTCTTTCCTAAAAGAAAACAAGCCATAAATGATTGACACTTGAGTTTTGCAGAACCTCCCTCCAACAAAGATCTCCAAACATTTAACATAAAGACATCAAAAAATAATTAGAAAATTTTTAATCCCAAATTTTTAATCCCTAATTTTTCATTCCAAATTTTTAATTACAAATTTTTAATCCCTAATTTTTAATCCCTAATTTTTAATTCCTAATTTTAATCCCAAATTTTTAATCCCTTATTTTTAATTCCAAATTTTTAATTCCAAATTTTTAATCCCTAATTTTTAATCCCAAAATTTTAATCCCAAATTTTTAATCCCTTATTTTTAATTCCAAATTTTTAATCCCTAATTTTTAATCCCAAAATTTTAATTCCAAATTTTTAATCCCAAAATTTTAATCCCAAATGTTTAATCTAAAATTTTTAATCCAAAATTTTTAATCCCTAATTTTTAATCCTAATTTTTTAATCCAAATGTCTGCTTATATAGATATTTACTTTGCCTAATAATCCAGGGCATTAAAAAACACAAATTATATATATTGCACACACACACAATTTAGAGGCATTTAAAAAAATAAAATTAGATTTTTACTCTAAATCCAGATGATAGGTATTATGAATTGCAAGCCAATGAGCAAGGGGATCCATGATGGATTATGGTCCATTTTTAAAACTAATACCTTTTTAAAGTAGCAAATATTATACGCCATATATCATTACCATGAGTCCTGAAGCAGTAGTCCATGTGTCTAGGACAGGATAGGTTTTGAATTCAGGTTGGTTTTGAATTCAGGTTGGTTTTGAATTCAGGTTGGTTTTGAATTCACTTGTCCTTTGAAAAGGGCTGCCACCAAAGACAAAAGATCCTAGATTGGTATACAAAGGATGTATTCATGCCTTTCCCAAGGGGATTAGTACAAAATCAATGCATCAGATTCCATCAGTATCTGATTTCATTCTCATAACTCTTTGGGTAGACATAGTCTTCAGTGTAAAATCAGAAATAAAATAGTTTCCAATTTATGTTCCACCCTTTAAAGGTGCATCTTTCATGACATTGCCTTAATCAAGTGTGGGACGTGGTAGGAGGATTATCTCCAATGAACTTGTTGGAAGGGGTGTTAATATTAGTTCTAGAACTATCTACATAAGCAAGTTTCATGTCTATGTTTAATCTACAGAAGAAAATGGCAACATACCCCAAAGGGCAAAAGGCTTTCATGTCAGATACTGCTTTTTTTGCAGAAGAAAAAAGAAGAAAAAAAAATGTTTCACCACTGAATGCAGTCAGCAAGCTCATGTAAATTAGCTTCCACTGACCAATTTGGTCCAAGTTTGCACAATCAAAATGCATCTGTTCACAGATTCTGCATATGTCCATTAGTGGGTATCTTACACACTCTCAACAAAGACCAGAGTAAACGCTAAAGTTGCAAATGAAATGCTCATCAGAAGGCAACTCGGTAGAAGTTAGTGAAGGTGTATGAGCTGTCGGTGGATATTGGACAGATCAAACCAAAACTAGGCAGACAGACTGATTCCCACAAAAAATGGCTAAATGCAGTAAGAAAACAAGTTGCACCCACTTGCACTGCATCAGTCAATGTAACTGCCAAATTTGGCATTTTGACATAAAGGGAACATTGTATTTTGTAAAATGGATTTAACTTCTGTTGACCAATCATAGTTAAAGATTCACTAAGTGAAATGCATTGCATAGAAAAATATGCTAATCTATTTCTATGCTCCAGAAATTGAAAACCTGATAAGGCTCCAACAAACTGCTATAAAAGTAACTGACTCTTTCTACAAAAGAGAAATTTTAGTGAGGAAGCTGCATGTGTGTACATGGATATTTGACAATTGTGGAACATGCCATCTCTCATTTATGTACAGGTAGGCAAAGAGAGTGGAATTAATAAAGAGACTGAAAACTAATCAATGGAGCACAAAGCCATATTTAATGTCCAATTGAAGTAGTCAACAGCCAAAAAGGGACAACAATCAAGACACACGATATGACGCATGTTCTAGTATTTCAGAAGTTATTTGTTATTATTGATTTTAGATTGAATCAATAAACTTTTTGAGGGTTGCAGACTGTTGGGTGAAAGAAAGTAAAGCAACTATAAGAAAATGGGGTAAAATGTAATGAAATGACAAAAGGCTTCATCTGAAAATAATTAAAATAGAATAATTCTACAAGGTCGATTACTGAATGACAAAATGGAAAAAAAGATTAACATATTTCATCCATCAAAAAGACTTATTCAGTCTAAATATTTTTAATAAGGAAATCATGTATATATATATATATATATATATATATATATATATTAGTGAATATGCATAATATGCAATGTTGTTCACACAACTGAGAGTTTCATGCAAATGTGCAATCTTCAGGTGTGAAATGTAGGAGAAGGTAATGAAAATATAAATAAATGTTATAATTTGTTGTTTAATTAAATGAATAAAAGAAGAAGTGTCATTTACCTTGATACTAGTAAAGGAATAGAGTAAATGAGAGAGATAATTTTTTATAGAAAAAAAAACAGAGCATTGTGGGTAAAAAAAAAATGTCAATCTAAGCGGGGATGTGGGGGGAATTAGTGGTAGTTGATTTGCAGGGGGAGCTTTTTTTTGTTACACTGGTTTGGGAATGCTAGGCAGGAACAAGTTTTGTGATTGCTAAAAGAAAATGAAAAAGATGAAGAAGAAAAAACAAAGAAAATGAATAAAAAGAAGATAATGAAGAAGAAAATAAAGAAACTGATGAAGAAAATAAAGAAGAAAAAAAACAAAGATGAAGAAGAAGAAAATAAAGAAACTGATGAAGAAAATGATGAAGAAAATGAAGAAGAAAACACTAAGAAGATGAAGAAGAAGAAAATGAAGAAGAAAAAACAAAAAGATGAAGTAGAAGAAAATTAAGAAAACAAAGAAAATGATGAAGAAAATGAAGAAGAAAAAACAAAGATGAAGAAGAAAAATGAAGAAGAAAACAACATGAAAAAAGATGAAGAAGAAAGAAAATGAAGAAGAAAATAACAAAGGAAAAATAAAGAAGTAGAAAACAAAGATGAAGCTGAAAATGAAGAAAAATAATAATAAGAAGAAAACAAAGAAGATGAAGAAAATGAAGAAGAAGACAGAGAAAATGATGAATAAAATGAAGAAGAAGAAAACAGAAGAAATAATAATAATAATAATCTTAAGTGTGATCAAGAATTGGTAAAAGGAGTCAAATCTTAGAGCCCAAATATTATTTTTCATTTCCTTAATGAGGATGAGTAAGTACAAGCACTTCTTCAGTCTTGTCCACTTTAATTAAACCAAAATAATTCTGAAGATCTAAGGACGTATCATATTATTTTGTCCAAAGAAATCATTTGAAGGACAGAACATTGTCACAAAATTTTTTTCCATTTTGTTACCCACCACATTTAGTCAGTTATATAGAATTTACATATCATATTCTCCCAAAGTTGATTATCCAATGATTCTTGAATTATTCCAAGTACCATTGTCATCTGTGTTGTTTCAATCATAACATTTGTTTTTAATCATTTCACCACAAGCATGGCAATAAAGCCACTAAGATGCAAAGTGTTATTTAGAGTGAAAGAAACTGAGAAAACATTAATGAAGAGAAAAGACAATAAAAGAACAGGATTGAAAAGAAGAGAAGATGGCAACTGATGTGCTTAAATTTTGGAAAATCATAGTTGACAGGAAAACAAGAAGCCAAAAGGAATTTCCACGGATGAGAAGTATGAGTAAAGAAACTATAAGAGATAGAACTTATGGCTACATCTTTCAATTTCAACAGTAAAATGACGGGACCTAGCTGCCAATCTAGTACTATGCATGAAGTCAAGGTACCAAAGAGGAAAGCTCATCAGAAAAATTCATAGAAAAGGTACAAGGCTGTTACATCACAGCAGTGAGAAAGTAAAGCCAAGATGCTAGGTCAAGACTGATAACATTACAGATTCTTCTTTGAATTTTGTCAAGAATCTTGAGATATATTGCAGAAGCACCAACTCATTTTCAATTCATGTTCAAATGGTAGATTTATAAATGATCAACAGTGGAATTGGGTGAGAAAAATTATTTGGCATGATGCTGTGACCTCACTTTATTAGCAGAAGACCCCTAAGCAGTTGAATCAATATAATCATCACAATTCATGTTACTGGAAAATGTGAGACCAGGAAGATGCAATGAGTCTCCCCACTTGAAGGTTAGCATCAGCCATATAATTGTTCTACTTCAACAATTATGGACTTTTGTCTTTTTTAGGTGTATTTCTGTTGCATTCGGGAAAGACTCTGAATTTAGTTTTATTATTATTATTATTATTATTATATTTCTAGATTCCATACTCGGACTATAACAGACATTTTTGAATTAAAAATATTCTCAAGTTACCAAAGAATGTAGAATCTAACATGTAAGTCAAAAACCCAAGATGTGGAGGTCTTTTGTCGTTATTCTTGTTCTTTTTATTGTTAGCTTTCTTCCCAAGCGTTTTTCTCATATTCTCTCATACTCAGTAACCCCCATGCATCTTAGTGGCTTTATTGCCTTGTTTTGGGTGAAATGATTAAAAAATGTTGAAATAATTAATAGAAAAACAGAATTTACAAAATGATTTAAGATTTATGGATTATGCCATTTTAAAAAATTTTTTGAAGATTTTAAAAGTATCATTTCAAATATATTGATATTTCAACTTTTATTAATTGCCAAAACCACATCTGACTTACCTTCACAAGAATTGGCAAGAATCGATCCATTTGTCCGAGTGCTGTAAGTGGCATTACATTTGAGGCATTTTTCTTGGTCAGCTTCTGGTTGATATGTTCCTAGTGGACACGGTTCACAACCATTTTGAGAAGCAATTGGTTGCTCACCCTGTTGGCATTTATCTGAATAAAGAATATATTCTTGGAGATTAAGGGGCATCTTGGGTGAGGACATTTTTTGTAAACATTTGCAAGGACTTGAGAATGTTTCATTTCACATAATAATAATAATAACAAGTACTTTTCACTTAACAAATGAACGGCTTAAAAAATTTTAAGTGGCCAATATTTCAGGCATAATACACATTTAAGGTGTTTCTATCAACCAGCTTCAGAGAGTTGAAATTTAACATTAAAACTGTTCTCCTAATCTTTACTGATGGTTGTGCTAAAAGATATCAAATATATGTTCATTTGTGGGGATTGTATAATTAATAAAATATAAAAAAATGAAAAATAAAATACAATAAGATAAAAGAAATACAAAAAAATAAAAAAAAAAGAATCTCCCAGGATGCTCCCTGACAGGAAGTACAAATGGTGCCTGCATGAATAAAGAGGGACTTCCTGGCACTAAAGACAAAGAGAATCATTCTTTTTTCCCTTGAACTTTCAATGGGTAAACATGTGTCTTTTGCCCGGGAAGGTATTTCCATTGTTACTGTAATAAAGTTCCCAAATCCATTTCCTGTGTCTCTGCCTCCTTCTTCTCTTTGTACCTTTTATTCCAGGAACAGCAAGAATTTAACGCAGATTTGGAATTTGAGCAGAATAACCTAAAGAATAATTCCTTTTTAAAACTCCAAATATTTACACAACTAACACGTGGTCTTAACACACAGTCATGAGATTCTGTTGAACTGCGATGGTTTAGGAGAAAAGCAAATTACTATATGAATCCTATCTGGAACCTACGTCCAAAAATATATCAAATAATAAAAATACTTCATCTGAAAAGAAATGATGCCAACTTAGTTCCTTTTAGAGTTTTGTCAAACCTGTTTTCAATACATTTAGCTTCTGTAAATCAGTCTCGAGCTGTGTCACAGATTTATTATATTGTTTCTAAGCAAAGGAGATATAGAGGCTTACATACTGGAGTTAGATGCATTGAAAAAGAGTGAGACTGACAACCAAAAGGAATTACATTGAAAATTCTGTTTACAAAAGACTGAAGAATCGGTTGGTTAAAATATTTATGGCCAAAAATCTACAAAATGATGGAGAATTGATTTTTTCACTACATTTAATTTTTTAATTTATGTAAATAAAGATTACAAGGTTATACTTAACCTTCACTTTTGCAAAATTGTTATTCCTTTGACACTGCTATTATTTTCACTCATTTGTCAAAGATAATAAAAATATGTGAACCAAGTACAATGCAAGATTTATTATTTACCATTTTATAACAAAATAAATTTGAAAAAAAGTCTTTTTTTATTTTCAAATATTACAAAATTATCAAAATATGTAAATCAACTACAAAGCAGTATTTATTATAGAATTAAGTATAAAAACTATGAAAACAATTTTTTTTTATTTACTCTAATAAATAGTGTTTAACATCTTTGTTGTCAATTCTCAAGAATAAAGAAAATGTATAAATCCATTTTCATGTTTGGGTTTTATTAAAATTCTAATCATCACTTTGAAAACAGTCAACATTGCCAAAGGAGTCAAAGTTGTATACAATAATAATAATAGTTGTGTCAAAGGAATAACTGTTCAGAGCACACCAATTTTTTATGGGTGCAGAATGTAATTATTACCATATACAGTATATTGGTCAAGTAAAGTATAGTCACTGTGGTCTAATCAGTAAGGCAGCAAACACATTAAGACAGGTTTCCTGAGGAAAAACAATATAACTCTTGCTTGAGGCTTTTTTTATTTTCAATTCACATTACTTATTAAGAATGGTCTGTGAGTTGTGTAATAGTAAATGAAATTAAAATGTATCAAATACTAGTTGAAAAATTAAAATAATAATAATAATGAAAATTGTTTATTTTTTAATTAAATTTTTCAAAGTACTTACATGTTGTACAATTCAATGTTGATGTGGAATTGATACTGCGTGTTGTTCTGGAGTCTGGACAAATTTGACAACGGCCATAAATGTTTTCATTATTATCTTTGTAGGTTCCTTTTGGACATGACAAACAGGTTTTATTCTTGGCTTCAAAACCAGATTCACAGAAAACTAAAGAATAGAAAGAAAACATAAATAAATTACTATGAAAGGGTTTCAAGTTGCAATCCTGCATTTTATACATCATGTAGTAAACATTTCATGTTTTAAGCTGCAACATGAGGCTCAGTCATTTTTATTATAATAAACTGGGAGTTATAAAAATTATTAGGAGGATTTGAATAATCATAATTAATTAATTCATTGAGTTTATAAGAATCCTCAACAGAATCCAGAAAGTACTAGATGGCCATTTCACCTTATTTTGGGACTCATCAGCAATGTGCATCCACTACTGAGAATCGAACATGCACTGTTATGATACTTTTCGTCACCAAGACCCGTTGGTCAAGTTGGTATAATGTTTGTGTTATAACAGTCCGGGTTCTATTCTCAGTAGTGGATGCACACTGCTGATATCCCAAAATAGAATGAAATGGCCATCTAGTGCTTTCTGCATTCTGTTGAGGATTCTTCTAGACTCGATGAATTACTTAATTATGAAACTAGGAGGTCTTCATTCCAAAGGTGCATTGGAAGAGCAAAATATGCCTTCCAAAAGCTAAGCCATGTATTAAGAAAGAAGAAAATTTCATTAGAAACAAAGAAAAGAGTAATAAAATATCATGAAATATCAGTCCTCCTCTATGACAGTGAATACTTGATAATCTCTTCACAGATAAAGAGGCTTGAGGCAACAGAAATGTGCTTCTTCTATACTGAGAATATCATGGACTGAACATGTGAGTAATGAGGAAGTTTTAGGGAAAATAAAAACAAAAAGGATTCTTATACAGAAAGAGACAATAGAAATTTCTAGGGCATATAATGAGGAAAGAAGGCTTGGATATTTTGATACTCACAACACATACTGAAGGCAAGCAGTATGAAGAAAACAGGTTATGACCTACCTAACAAGCTTGTGTAAATGGTTGGCAGAACAGGGATTAGGAGAGATAGTAAAATGACAAACCTTACTAAGAGCTAAAAGAGCAGGAAGCTGTGGAGAACTATGATTGCTCACATTCTGAAGGGAAAGCACAGAGAAGTATTTTTATGGCTTATAGGACACCTTTCACATTTATGTATGTATTATGAAGGGAGACATTATTTTGATATGTGGTCATTTTAAGAACTTAGTTGGGCTGAGAACTTGTCTGTATCCACTGTGTATTAGTGTTAAGATACCAATACTTGTACCTAGCCTATGGTACATCGGTTAGGGTGAAAGGATGAAGAGGATTTCTCAAAAATTATGATGTTTGATTTATTCACTCTATTCACTATTAGTTACTTGCCCCACCCCCACAGTGATGGGGTGTGGCACAAAGCTGCTTTAAAGTGGGGAGCCTAATGCCAAAAATGTAAAAGTTATGCTGCATCTGCAACAACTGTCATGCTGGCATCAATATTCCACTAACCTTCTCTTTTATAGTGTAATGGGTGAGGTGCTGTCACAGAGTTGGAATCCCCAAGACCAGGTATATCGATATTTTTTGCGATATGTCAGAAAAGAGGTCTTGTGATCTGTCAGAAGACACACAATTGAGAGATTGAAGGTACAGTGTAACCCGGATATAAGAGACCCGGATATAAGAGAGATTTTATCTGGTCCCAAATTAGAGCCCATATTTACCTAAACAAAATAGACCAAACCCGGATATAAGAGACTTCTTCTCCGGTCCCGACAACTCTCTTATATCCGGGTTACACTGTAGCTACCAACCTGATGGTCATTTTACTATTAGCCCTTGGCAGAAAAAAAGTCAGCACATTACACCATTTATTACAAGAAAACCCTTTGCCTAGTGAAAAGATGGCTGACGTAACTCACTGTAAATTGATAACCAACAACAGTTTAAGCCACAGAGAACGTACCAGCAATGCTTCAATATTTTCACTGCTTAAAAATTTACAATTGGGTTCAGAATTGTAATCAGGAAAAATTATTTAAAAATTTCAGAAAATGAAAATTAATTTCTACTTTTTTCTCTGCTTACATTTGCAGTCATCTAACATCTGGGCTCCTTTTTTTCCAGTTCGATATCTCTCACTTGGGCATGGCTTACAAGAATTTTGATTGATCTCATCTTGGTAGGAATCTTCTGGACACAAGATGCATGTATTGTTGTCTTCATTAAGGTAAGAACCAGCAAAGCAAGCACCTATAAAATATAAAAATCAGTTTTGAATAGAGACTTCTTGAAAAAGAAAGACATGATGCAGAAAGAAGAATGAAAATGGTTACTGACAAGAAAAGAGAAATAACACATGAAAGTGAGCGGAAAGAACTGTGACATGGAAGAAAATAGTAGTGATCATTTTATCTTACAATCACAATTGCCACACCTGCAAACAGGATACTTTTTGTTCCAGAGTCAAAGCAGACAAGGACATACACCCTTGTACAAATTAATTGAAACAACTGCTTCAGTTTCCTTTTTTCCACCATACAGATTTAGACCCACTGGGTTGACAGGGTGTAATCAATTTCTATTTTTTTCTCAGATTAGGTCATTTGCAGTGGTGTGCAGTAATATGAACCCGTTTTTTGGGTGTATGATGAAATTTGTTTGGCCTTGAAACATATTGCATCATCCATGATTGCATCAGATTTTTATCATGCCCAGACACTATTGTCTCGACTGTCAATTAGTTGTCCATTGTCTGCGATGGATGTTACTCCAAGCAAGCATACAAAATTGTAATGCTGCATGAACACATTAGCAAGCCTTACTAGTGAGAAAATCAAAGTACTGCAGACTGGCCTGGAAACTCTCTAGTTTGAGAATCTGTGGTCAATCTGCAAGGAAGGACTTTGTGAAATGGGCATACAAAGTATTAAAATGTGCACTGAGTCATATTTTAGTGGAAAAATATGAAAAAAATGTAAATAACAATGGAATTATTCGTTTTGTTTCAATTAATTTGCACAAGGACGTATATACATTTGAGAGAAAGCATCTATATACTTACAGAATTTAAATTTGTTCATACAACAAACCTGATACGCATTAGCAGAAAGTGAATTAAATTCTTACTTGTGAGTTGACTTGGTCATACATTGTGCTTGTGATGTGGTCAGGTCATGAACTGGGAGATAATATGGAAAGCTGGTGTAGATGTGCATTCATTTAGAGAGATTAACTCTAAGCGGCTTGGTGACTTTTCATTTCTTACACTTTGACATGTGCATCAATTATAACTGATCCAAGGACAGATAATTAAGTTTTGTAATATTATCATGAATAGAGAATTAAGAGACTTGCAAGTTCTCCATTTGATCTAACTGACAGAAGACCTTAACACACAGTCTTGTGCTTCTGTTGGGTTGTGCTGTTACAAAGTTCTCAGATTATATAATTTTCCTTTGTTTGAAGATTTTTCTATTTTCCTTGTTTAAGAATTAATTTAATCTAAAAATTTTGTACAAGAAGCATTGTCATTATTGTTAATGTTTGTCTCATATTTGTTTCATTTTCTCTTCCTTTTACGACTATTAGTAAGATCCATTATGAGGAGTGCAATGCTGATGACATACGTATTCATAGTTGGGATAAGAATGACATTTAACAGAAAATCATCATCTTTTATATCAAGTGTTTGAAGAACTAGGACTGAAGATAACCGTTTTTGGAACATAAACAATGATATGAAATTGGGATGAAGGCAGTTTGTAGCCAGTCCTGAAGTCATTATAAAAATACATGATGTGGAATTAGTAAATACTAAACACTTCAGATACCTTGGAGTTTTGACCATTGCTGCAAATTGTTACAAAACCAAAACATCAACCTGAAAACTTCAGTCATATTCTTAAATAGCATTTTTTAGATCAAGGGATGTCATATGTGTCACCAAACCTGTTCAGAATGTCCTATACTGTCAGCTGTATACAACCGCTTCAATGGTGAAAAAGGCTTTGAGTAAGTAAAGCCTGAGGGTTTTGTCAAAGATCATACTGCTTTCAACATTGTGGAATCGCAGTACAGAATCACAGAGAACTTGTATCAAATAGCAAAAACCACGTAACTTTATGAAAGTCAACTCACCACAACCAAGTTTGATTTTTAGTTCTGGTAAGCAATGCAATGATTGCATATATGTTACCAAACAACTCCACGAAAATGTTTATCTCTCTAATAGGAAACTGTATACCTGTTTTGTCGACCTCACAGCAGCATATCTTCTTCTTGTCTTTCATTTCACTGAATGCATCAAGCTAACAGAGGAACAATATAAATCTACAAAATCTTACACGTTTTGTAAGGACCCCATTTCAGAAACATTTCAAACCTCGTCAGGATAAAGAGGAAATGAGAGACTCAGTCTATTTAATATTTTCTGAGCTTATGCCCAACACATATACAAACACAGATGTGACAAGATGGGCAATGAATCTTTAAACATTCCATACCATATCCCAGATGACTCTAGTAATAGACCCCCAAGATCAATGTATTGTGATGATGATTGCTGTTTATAGTTGGGATAAGAATAATCTTGAACAGAAAATCAGCATCCTCTAAGGAGTGTTCCAAGACATAGGACTCATGAGAAAGCTTTTCAAATTAGAAACTCTGATCTGGAATTGGGATGAAAGCAGTGATGGCACCAACCTTGATTCCATCATAAAAGTACAGGATGTGGAATTAGTAAATAATAAACACTCCAGATACCTCAGCGTATGGATCAGTTATAACAAATTTAGTATATGGATGTCATGCATGGCACCAAACTTGTTTAAAATATCTAAACTGTCAGCTGTGTGAAACTGCTTTCTAAGAACAATGGTTACAAATGGCTTTGAGTCAGTGAAGCCTGTGGACCTCGACACAGACCATCCTTCTTTGAACATTGTAGACTAGTGTTACAGAATCACACATAGGGAACTGTATCAAATAAGAGAAACTACATCACTGGAGGAGGAGGAGGAGGAGGAGGAGGAGAGCAAGTGTATTGTAAATGTATTGGTGGTGGGGTTAATTACTTTTTTTTACCCAGCTTAAGAATGTTGCTTTTATGTGCTTAAGAATGCTTTGGATTTCTTTCAAATTTTCTTTTCAATTTCACACATATTTACCTAGTTTTGTAGAGTAACTAAGATTTACTATCTTAAATAATGACCTATAATTGTACCATTTATGATTGAAAAAACCTTCCATACATCCTATGTAGCAGATTCAACTGACCTCCTGATTTTTTAAGTTAAAAGTTCTGCATGTTATTTTTTAGTTTTATTTTATTTTTTTCACGTATATATATATATATATATATATATATATATATATATATATATAAAATAATCCTAAGGAGCCAAGCAAACCTATCTATTTTTTTTTCTTGAACTTGGAGCTTAAACACTTGACTATTGTTTTTGTCTTGTTTTATGTTCTTGGTTCTTTCTTTTTTTTATTCCCCATTTTTCCTCAGGTACTGAATTGTTGTAGTGCAAGTTGAGCTATCCAAGGTTTTTCCAAACGAGTACCACCATTTATATATATATATATATATATATATATATATCATTGTTTTTTTTTATGTTCTGTCATGTGTCTATCTCTTGTTGCAGCAAGTCATCCAAAAGTAATAACTATTTAAAGAGTAAGAGACCAATAAATATATATGTGGCATCCATCGGGTCTTGAGAGACCGATGGATCTGCACCCAAAGAGTTATGCCTCAGCTGCTGAAGACAGGCACAGTATCTGTTATGGCTGTTCAGGTCGACATGGGTGGGACAGAATTTGGAACTCATCATGAGTGTAAAAAACAAAAACAAAAGAAAAACTCCTCCCTAAAAATAATCCATGTAAATGTATTCACGTACTAATAGGGAAAAGAATAAAAATTTTCAATTATATATGCATATTATTTTGAATGCACCTTTTCAGTTGGACAATCTCCAAAAGTTAGGGGGAATGACATCCTGACTTATATCGAAAAGGGTGCATTGGACAAAAAAAGGTTGAGAACTACGGTGCTAAGGTTTTTAAAAATTAAATTCTCTCTCACTTTCTTTTCTTATGCATTTATCAAAGATTAAATGCATAAAATGATAGATAGCTAATCTTGCAGACTGTTAGGAGTAAGTTTCTTCTTTGCTAGATTTGTTGGAAACCTCCATGGTGACTGATATAATTGTATCTATAAGACGACTAGAGACGGGATAGAAAGAAAACACTGAAAAGAAAGACAATGTCAGTGAAGAATGTGCTTAGGCAATGGGATTTCAGTCAAAGTGTTTCCGTGACTTACTAATATTGCATTCTTTTACACTTGTGGCACCGGTGCGAAATGTGATTGTTTTGTTACTACATTTCTGACATGTGTTTGCAGTGCCATTTTCACGGTAAAACCCAATCAGACATGCTGTGCAGTTAGTGGTAAATTCATATCCAGCTGGACACGTCTCTGAAATTAAAAAGAAATATTAAGTACATCTTTAACTCTTTCATTATTATTAAAACAAACCTTATATAATCTTTTGTTAGTAATGTCAGATAAAAATCATCATTATCACTCCCATTACCAGGGATGGTTCAAGGCCACTGATCAGCTGTGCACCTGACTAACTCCCACCATTTATGTCCCAGTAGGTATTCATTCATGTGTAGCATGTACTAAGAAATTAAACCTGGTGGAGCCTATCCCTCCTTCAGGTCAGACAATGGCTGATATACTTTTTCTTGAAGGCTCAGCTTGGTCATGGTCATGTGACTATTGATTCCATTGTGACAGGGTGGAGGTTCCCGTCTCCTTGCCTTTTGACATCAGTCTAGAAAGCTCTCATCTTAGTGATGCCATACCATCACTACCATGGATATGCTGCCAGTTCTTCAGTAAATGAAGTGGAGTAATGGATAGCAGTTCAGATTAAGGAATTGGAGATCAGAGTTCAAATTCCAGTCAAATCCATTACATTCATTTAGCCTTGGGAAAAGTATAAATCATCTTCTTCTCCCTCCAATTATGGGTAATTGCAGGATAGACTGGGTTCTATAGCCTTGGATGGCAACTGGTCTAGTAGAAGGAAAAACTCTGAATTTAAAAAAACAGCCTTGAGTGGGTTGGGTCCCAACAGGCTATCTTGACTGCTGTGGTTGCAATACACATGGTACCCATATGACTCTACATGTCATAGGATAAAAAAAAATGATGACAAAATAAGTTTTGTTTTTAAATAACCCATAAAGTGTTGATAAGCCATAAAAAATTAAATCAAATCCGTTTCTTTGGTTGCTGGATATTGGAGTAAAAGTGGAATGTTATAAAATCGAACAATTATTATTATTATCATTGTTATTATTATTGTTATTATTATTTCCTTTAATTTCTGGCATGCACACATTTCTTTCCGGGTTCTTCTCAGAGACCTAAGGTTAGAAATGGCATCATGACACTTTCCACTGACAAAAAAAATATTTTACATACATAAAGCATTTTTACATAAATAAAGCCCTTTGTAAAGTATGGGTTGTACTTGTGGGAACAATTTTTTGTATTTCTTTGAGGCATGGACCTCCAGGAATCCCTTCAATTATTCTACTGGAATCTTTTCCAACCAATCCTAGGGCTCCAACTACAACAGGGATTGTTGATGTTCCCATGTGCCACATGTTATTATCATTATTATTATGACTGCTTAAATAACAGAAAACAACAAATAATAAAAGTAAATGATATAATGTTATTTGTAAATTATTAGTAAATTATTAGTATAATATTACCTATAAACTCTTTTAACCTTTACTATTCAAAATAGTTTATCTAATCTTATTATTAAAATAATTACAACTTCATCTAAAACTATTATGGATAGGATCAGACCAAAAAATGTCCATAATAATTCTGAAACAGGCACATATAAAATAAGCTGTAATAAATGCCCCATACAATATATTAGTGAAACTTGAAGAAATGTTTAAAAAAGTACAAGATCTTTTACAGAACAATTTATCCAATGCATTTTGTGTATGACTTAACATTATAAAAATCACTTTGATAACAATGCTTGTTGATGATTCCTTTCTTTCAGCTATTCTGTTCTATCTGTGTAGTAAGACGTTACATTATCATAGATATAATATTGTTCATAATGGGGGAAATGAAAATAGGATATATCCATTTCTCACATAGCATTTTCACTAGAACTTACTATTAAGACAGGTGTAAATAGGTATGTTATCAGTATAAATACCTACTTGGGAACAGATATGTCAATTTCACTTTCTGAGCTGTTGTGACACTGTGTGTCTGTCCTTGTCAATTTTATTTCTTTTCTCACCTTTGGAGTGGGGGGGGGATTATATTTTCCATGTTACTTTTTTGGTTTTTATTTTCTTCATTTTCTTTTCAATTTCTTGATTAAATTGAAAATTCCAAAACGTTTCTTGTGATTTGAATAAAAGACAAACAACTTTTGAATAAAATTTTATAAAAAATTATTTGTTATGGAGTGTTGTTTCCACATCTGGGTCAGAGCTGCCCCATCTTTACTTTTCCATCTTTTTCAATCAAATCCCAAATCATTTGCCGGGATAATTGCAGGTACTTGTAGACGATGGATTGTTTCCCGTCCTGCAACCTCTTTCCCACGGGTGAAATGCTGCTAGCCTCTTGCTCTTTTGCTATGTTCATGGCAGATATTTAAGTCAACTACATTAATTGCTTCCACCAGTTCAGACCTTCACAGCTAGCACCTGCCATGCCGCATATACTTGTGGTTTTAGTGTTGTAGAAATTCTTGGTGCTTATATGATACATAGGACATAAAACAAAGTGGAGCATTTTTATTTATTTGCTTTATATTTGGTATTCGGTATAGCAAAATGTTTGTTTATAAGGCAGATATTGGTAGCAGTCTGCAGAAATTAATGTTTTGGCTCGGTAGTGGATAGTTTTGAAGTCAGACCATACTAATGAGTAGTAGACATATTAGAAATAGCAGAGTGTCAATCTACTGTGTTTTTCTTGGCCCTAAGCAGGGCAGAAATATGATTAGCAGATAACCTCTTAACTACTTTTGATGGGGACCCAGACTTACTGGTGCAAATCTCAGTTTTGCATAACATGACAAGATTATTTGAGTTAATTGTTTTGATTGGCCCAAATTTTATTTTATGGCATTCATTTCTTTTTTCCTTTTTTTTTTTATAACAGAAGTTATGCATGGAGCCACTCTGATTTTTAGTCACATATTAGGAGGCTCTGGGCCCACAAACTTCTGGCATTTTTCAGCTGGGTTCAGTCTTTTCTTCTTCCTCTTTTTATTTGAGGGTTGGCTTCTTGTTAGTTGAGAGAAGCTCAGAGAGAGAAAGAGAGACAAACAGACAGACAGAGAGTGAGAGAAAGTGATAAAGGTTTTAAAGGAAAATGTAAATACCTTATTTTAATTTGAATTCTTTCTTTTTTGTTTTCATTCTAGATATGTGCTCAATGACTAAAAACACTCATTTTATATTTGTAATTTGTTATTTTTAATAAAAATGACTGTGCTTGTTTAAAAATAAAAAAGAAAAAATATACTTTGTAATATTTTTTAAAACCATATTTTCTTGTGCCTCTATTCAAACAAGTAGTTTGTTTTCTAATATTAGTCTTCCAACAAGAACAACTTATAAGTAAGTTGTCTCTTAGTGTACGAATTCCTTCTCCTGCTACACTTAACATTTATCTCTTAACAGGCTATCACTGAAAGAGTCAACCAACTATACATGCAACATCAAAATTGATTTCTCTCTCTGTCCAGTTAAAACTTCTACTGTCACACAATCACTGACCCAATTTCTAGCCCACAGCAATTACCCCAGTTCTGACAGAGAAATATTAGAAATTATCACGTCAATCTTACAACTGGCAAAATGTAGAAGATATTTCAGGGCGGAGCACTTGAACTAATTGACATTAATGTCTATCACAAAATATTTTTTTAAAAAATGAATTACTATCAATTAATTTTTTCTCAAAATAAACATCATACAAAAAGCATTACATGTGCTTTAATTTTAAAAGTTGTGGTAAAAAAAATTACATAAATAAAAATTTGCATCTTGATGGCAGTGAATGCTTGATAATTTCTTCACAGATGAAGAGGAAACCTGAGACAACAGAGATGTGGTTCTACAGAAGGATACTGAGAATACCATAGGCCGGACATGTAAGCAATGAAGATGTTTTAAGGTAAAGTGGGGAGAGAAAGGATAATTTTACTTAAAATGAGAAAGAGACAATTGACATTTCTGGAATATATAATCAAGAAATAGAGCTTGGAGGATTTGAAAATTTGATCTTGGAAGATTTGAGGATTTGATCTTTGACGATTTGAGAATTTGATCATGGAAGATTTGAAAATTTGATCATGAAGGATTTGAAAATTTGATCATGGAGGATTTGAAAATTTGATAATGGAGGATTTGAAAATTTGATCATGGAGGATTTGAGAATTTATTCTTGGAGGATTTGAGAATTTGATCTTGGAAGATTTGAGAATTTGATCTTGGAGGATTTGAGAATTTAATCTTGGAGGATTTGAGAATTTGATCATGGAGGATTTGAGGATTTGATCATTGAGGATTTGAGGATTTGATCATTGAGGATTTGAGGATTTGATCATTGAGGATTTGAGGATTTGATCTTGGATAAACGAATAGCAGAACAGGTACCGGAAGGGATAGTAAGGAGTCAAACGTTGCTTAGAGTTACAAAGGATAGGAAGTTGTGGAGAGTCATGATTATACATTGTTCTCAAGGAACATGGCAATTCTTTTATTTTATATAATTATTTTAAATTTAGTATGTCATTAATTAAAGAATGTGATTTTTATATCCAAGTACTGGACCCTTTCATTTTATATCATGTCAGAAGTTATACAAAATGTCTTATTCTATAAGACTTAGAGAAATGATATGACTAATCCAAAATAAATATTCCTGTTTAGACTAACAGAACTCTACTAAATCATACTGGCATTTTTTATTTTTCTTCTCTTGAAACCATATTACAAAATTCTTATTCTGTTGAAAGCCCCAGATCAATAACACATTAAATTAGAATGACAAGGAAACTTTTTTACCTGTACATTGGTCTTCGGATTTTGCCCCTTCCAGTTTGGTACTTCTTCCAGACAAACAAGGCTTGCAAAAGAATTGGCCTTCCAAGTCCTGATAACTGACAATGTCACACTTCTTGCACTGGTTAGTTTTTACATCAAAGAACTCACCAGGTAAGCACTTGACTGTTTACAAAAACAATGAAAAAATACTTTTTAAAAGATGGGAAAAAATATATTTTTAAATAAGGAAAAGAGAAAAAGAAAATTTAAAGGTTATGAAAAAATACAAAGAAATATAAAATGAATATAATGAAAAAAATATTAAAAATAGTTAAAAAATGAATAAAATATTAAAAATAATGAAAAAATAAATGAAAAGTAATGCAAAAATAGATTCATGAAAATAATTAAAAATACCAAAAAAATATAAAATAATGTAAATCTAAAAAAAATATTTGAAAAATAAAAAGTAATCAGAAATGAAAAATGCAAAATAATGCAAAAGAATTATAGGAAAATATTCGAAAAACAACAGGATTAGTTTTATTTAAAATTTCAAAACAACAAACAAAATAAATTCAGTTGACTAAACAATTCTTGGAATGAGGATTCTTTTTGCAATTATAGCAGGTAAGATTTAATTAATCCAATAAATTCTTTGGAATACCAAATTATCAATTTTACAAAAGGTGATTGTTTATAAGCAATAAGGACCAGAAATAAAATTTATTTACAATTCATACAGTAATTAACGATCACAGAATGACTTTTTTGAAAGTTGAAATAAAAAGCAAATGAAATTAAGATGAAAAAAATGCTATTTCATAATTAAGACCCACTGTCCACTTACACAAAACAGACATCATTATAATGAATTCAAAGATGAAATAAAACTTAATTATTAAGAATTATTTAATATATTCTAATATCTATTAGAAGGAGAAATGTTCTTCAATAAAAGTCCAAACTGAATTTGAAATATACAACTGAACTTAAAAAATAAATTGACATTTTTTTCAAATTTAATATTAAAACTTTTTTCAGGTTACCTCCTCCTAATTTTTGAAACTGCTACTAGGGGACACTTTCAGAATTATAAATACTTGGCGATATCTTTTCTCACTCTCTTTTTATCACTTTTCCACTTACAGGTAAACATGTAAGTCTCTTGTGGAAGAACACATTATCTTTTGGGAACACACATGAACAATACATACACACACCTTTCACCTCTATTTTTTTTCTAGGACTTTCTTCTACACTAAACTACACATATGCAAACAAATCACTAGCTTAAATGTTTTCTTCATTCAAGTTCATTGTTCAGTAACACGCAGCAATATTCTATTGTTTATGTAACCCATTATTGTTAAATAAATTATCAATTGCTTGCACATATATATTGGTCCTTGTTGTTTCTTTACGTGGACTCATATCCCGAGTCTGCCATGTTAGTTGCGGGGTATTTCAGGAGACACACATGTTTATCTCTTAACACATACACTGACACACATCTTGGGGATAATAATTGCATTTGTTGAAAAGTCATCATGCACTTACCTTTGCATCCAGTGATATTCATATGACCTGTCCCTAAAGTGGTATGGTTTGCAGGACATGGAATACAGCTGGTCTGAGCAATATTTGGTTGGTATGTTCCAACTGGACATGGGTCGCAGTGAGTGCTAACATTCAAGTAAGTTCCAGGAGTGCATTCAACTAAAAGATGCAAGAAAAATATCAAGTGTTATTATTGTATCACATGGTTATACTTAATGTCAAAATATTGAAAATCTATGTCCATGTCTGGGAGAACATTAACCTTCCAGATACATCAACCTAAAGATGCTGAGAAAACAGTCAGCTCATTCTATCACTCCAGGAGTTATCTGACACCTTTTACCATACTTTATCTTTCAAAAAATTAGATTAGACCAAAAATCTTACTGCCATATCTAGGTTGTCACAGATACATCACAAACTCTTCACTACTCTGTAGCTATTTCGATGACAAATACTTCAATGAGCTTTCACCTCTTCAGTTCTTGACAACTAGGCTACATCTTGCCACTTCCTCAAGAATGAATCACCCTTATTTCCTATCTTCCAAATGTAAGAATAAAGTTCTATTCAGACAAATTTTTCTCACAAACTGCTGCTTTGTGGAACAGATGCTTTTCATAGATGTTTCTGTAAACACTTCGACCTTGACCTCTTCAAGTTAAGATTATCTATCCTCCTTGACCTCCTTGACCTTGACCTTGACCTCTTCAAGTTAAGATTATCTATCCTCCTTGACCTCCTTGACCTCCTTGACCTTGATCTTGACCTCTTCAAGTTAAGATTCAATCATTATCTATCTTCCTTATCTTCAGAATCCTCAATTTCTATCCCTCACCCTGCCTGGATAAGACGATAAACTACATTCGACAGCAAGGCTTCTGATTAGGAGATTTTGAGGAGTGTGGAACCACCTCTTCATTGCTGGTGTTTCCTGGCCCACTCTGACTCAGGGTAGTAGCACCTGTTAGGGTCCCAACAATGGGCAAATAGTTAACCCCCAAACTGAGGACAAAATCCTATGAAAGTGTAAAAATAGGTTTTAATTCCAGCAATATATATTTGTAAAAATATTACCAGCAATACATTTTTGAGGAAAAAAATATTGTGATAATATTTTTTATTGCCATGGTAAAATGGAACAAAGTTTTATTAGAACATAAGAAAGTGTTATGTGCTGAGAGACATTGAAACAAGAAGGGTTAATACTAAAAACCCATGGGAAGAATTGAGGATTTAATTCACACATAAATGACTTGAACTGTATGTCGAGCAGTTTGAACAATGGAAAAGTGACCCAGACTTAGAGGGCAATGTTGATTGACACACATCTGCAAATGCAAGCTGTAAAGCAAAAAAGTAGATATTGTAAACAAAAGAATTTGGAACTGAGTTTTCCTGGGTGGAAAATGTTCAAGGTAGCAGGCACAGATAAGACATCAAGGATGATGGTGGAACCACCCATGCTCACTGAAGAGAGGATAATAAAAAAGAGGTGGGGGAGAGAGGGAATTAACCAAAATTATGACATAAGTCAGAAGGGATTCACCGAAATAATCCTACCTCACCAATATCCCCCCATGCTAGTTTGGGGAAATGTCCATAAATATGAATGCGTGAAGTAAATTAGGCAGAAGAGATAAGAAAGGTAGAAGAGACAGGCAGAGAGGCCCACGTGATTATCTGCTGATGTAAGCCTCTGACTTCAGCCTTGTGTCAAACTTTACCAAAACAGCAACCCGAACTTTACCAAGTTAACAATAATATCACTTTCAATGGGCTGATAATTAATTGAATGCAAACTCTGATATAACCAATTATTGTACAAAGGTCTGATATGAAAACGGTATTTACTTTTAATTTATTTGAGTGTTATTTTTTTTTCCTGTATGTCATTGTCCTGCTTGGACCAGCCCAACATGAAGATACCTGCGACGATTTGATCATGGCTGCCTTATGATCAACCTTAAATCACAACATGGGATAAGGTTAGCTTCAGATTGAAGTGGTCACTTCAGCGACCAGCTGCAGTGTAGGAGGTCTTGGATGACCAGGGTGGGTGTTGTACGATTGCAATATTACCAGCAATAAAAGTTTTGTCAGCATTAAATAACCCATTTAGATTGATATGCTTTAAAACAAACCAAACCAAACCAAAGCTACCACCTGTTCTTTCATTCATATCATTCACCATAACCATTTTACCTTGAGTGACACTTAAGCCTTTTATTGGGTGAAAGTTAGTATAAACGTAAATTAAATTACAGAAGAACTTCACCTATTAGTCCTGGGATTTTTTTTGTGTTTTTCTAAAAGGTGTGAGATGGTTTTATATATTATCATTAGAGTATTTAAATTTTAGAAACAATCAAAAGAAGCAATTATTTTAGCTATTGACTAAATTTAAGTTAGTTTGGCACAAGGTCAAAATTAAAGAGCAAACAGTAAACTAGTAACTGTTTGTGAGACTACAACTCTTTTTTCTATAATGAGCAGCTGGATAGTGATATTTACTTAGTATGGCACAAGGCCATAATTATGAAGTACTAATGGAAATTAAAATCAACACCTTAGCCTGTGAGATGAGCTTATTAACCATTACAAGATGACAAATGACTATATATTATATATATATATATATATATATATATATATATATATTTCCAATGTTCTTACATTTTTCCATCTGGTGGGAGTAAAAAAACTGTCTGTACTGTCTGTTTTCCCCAAACCCTTGTGTGCTAGTGGCACTCTTGCTTTGCTTGGGATGAATTTCACTGGAATTTGAACTCAGCTCTCTAATTCCTGACAGGATTACTAAATGCAATTGCATATGTATATGTATTAATTATACAAAGAGGAATCAAAAAAATCTGTTGAACTAATATTACATTTCTACGAGAATGCCCAAAGAGCCTATTTATGGAGCAACATTAATCAGTGTGTTCCAAATTGACAGTCTTTTATTTTATTTCTTTTATTTTAATCAATAAATAAAAGCGAAAGCAACCAAGATTCTTGGCCAGTAATAAATTATTTTGTACATTTGGAACTGAATGATCTGTGTTTGAATTCTGGGTCATGTGTAAAAAAGAGAAAATAAACAAGATTTTGGAGAATAAGAAAACTTACCACATTGCCCTTGGATCAGTGCTTCACCTTTGTTGCACGTTTGTGTTGAAGTCAAAGAGAAACGGTCATTTATTGAATTTCCTCCACTCACAAATTCTGTCTGGAAAAGAAAAAGAAAAACATGCAATGTGGTTGGCCCTGATCTGGTATCTCGTTTATAGTGGCTCTCTCACAAACATGCCGTTGCCTCCCTCTGTCTTTTCTACAAATACTTTCATGGTAACTGATCCGATGAGCTATTTTCACTAGTTCCCAAACTGCATGAATTTAAGCGTGACACTAGGTCAGCATCTCAGTCTGACCCTTTCACTGTTGAAACTGTTAAATGTAGCCATCTCTTCTACTCCAATAGCTTCATTTCTCGCACTTCCCATCTGGGGAATTCCCTTCCTCTTACATGCTTCCCTGATAGCTATAATCTCCAACTATTCAAATGCAATGTCAACTGACATCTCCAGATGTCCTGATCTATCCCCTATCCTTCTTTTCATCCTTTCCTCTATCATACCTCTTCACTTTTGCTCCAACTCTCTGTAACCCCTTAGCGGCTTCCCGCCTTGCTTGGGGTGAAAAGTTTAAAAAAAAATTTTCTCAATTTACTCTAGGCAAGATAGTAAAAGAAAGAAATGACTATCAACTATAAGATTGACTGATTGATTTTTTATGGGTTATCAACCTATTGCAGGTTATTAAAAAATAGAAAATATTTTTAGATTGTAATAATTTTTTTGATATAATAATGATTTACTGGTACAAGTCCTACTAATTAACCCATATCTGGGGGACAGGAAGTGGATTCATACCTTTCACAAGGGTAATTGTGTATAAGTGAAGCTGACTGGAATTGAAACTCAGCTCCCTAATTTCTAATTCTGAACTGTTATCTATTACACCACAAGAAATGGTGTTTCAATGGAATATGACGATAAACCATCAATTCTAAGAAAACAGAATGTCTGATTGTTAACAAAAGAGACAGCCTGAGATGTGAGCTACAAATTGGAGGTTAAAATCAAGCAAATGCAGAAATTTAAACATTTGGTAAATGTTTTAACAGATGACAGAAAGTACGACACTGAAATCTGAAGGTGTATTTGAATAGTAAAAGATGCCTTTCAGAAATTGGACACAATATTAAGAAACAGGAGAATTTTAAGAATAACTGGATTTATGACCTGACACATCATCTTGGATAGAGGCACTCTATTATCTGCATATATATGGATGCATCGCACACTACATTATTCAGACTATTGTCCTCATATTTGTTGCCATATTTATTACAACATTTCGGCCGTTGTACGCTCCGGCCTTCATCAGATTGATGGAATGTTGAACTGAACCCTTTATTTCGCTCACTGGGGTAGACTGTTCTAGTTCCACGTGACATGTTTAATGGATGTCAGTTGTCAGTTATCTCCTGTTAATTCCCCTCTCCAAGTTCTTCACTGCCTTTACCGGGTATTGAACTCACACTTTTTGGGTCCTGTCACTGGATCTAGCTAATGCCTTTATCCACTGTGCCATGTGTCCTTGTAATAAATATGGCAACAAAGATGAGGACAATAGTTCGAATAATATAGATAGTGTACATAATACCTCATCTCCGAAATATAGACAGATAATAATGGATGAATCGCAGTTGACATATATCATCTCATATACACTTTACATCATTTGGCTATCATCAAATTCATTATATTTAGAGCTAGAGATGTTTTGAAGGAAACAATTTGTATAAATTTCAATTATTATTGAAAATAGCTTTTCCTTCTTGCTTACTTTTTTTCATGCAGTTATTTTTCTTTCTTTTTTGTAGTTGCTTTTTTATATTTCTTTCATATTTGCATATACTCATCCTATTTACATTTTTCCTTTCTTTCTATCATTCGATTGTTCTACTTTAATGATTTCTTTCTTTCTTTCAGAGACAATTTTTTTGATTTTTATACTTTCATTTTCTTTCTTTCTTTCTTTCTTTCTTTCTTTCTTTCATACAAATTTTCTACTTTTATGACTTCTTTCTTGTTTTCTTTCAGAGAATTTTTTTCTATTTTTCTACTATTATGTTTTCTTTCTTTCTTTCTTTCTTTCTTTCTTTCTTTCTTTCTTGTTTTCTTTCTTTCTTTCTTTCTTTCATATGATTTTTCTATTTTTGTCACATCTTTCTTTCTTTTTTTTTTAGGATATTCAAAATTATGGGAACTTTTTTTTTTAATTTTGTGTTCCTAGATGATGTACTGATATCGTTATTTGCACTATTGTCCTCATTTTTGTTGTTACTATTACAACATTTAGGCCATTGTGTCACCTGAGTTTCTTCAGGTTTGTCAATTCAATTATCTGGTCTTCAATCACTGCTCACTCTATTCTCATTGAACCTACACTATTTATCCAGGGACTGAACTCACAATTACTCTGTTGCCATATTCCTAAACCAATGCATTAATCCACTAGTCATTTATCCAGTAGGACAATCCTGAGTATAGAACTTGGAGTCTTAGGCATAATCTGACAGCTGTTGATACTGTTGCTGCTTGTCATGCTTGACTGCATTCACTTCTCTTCTCTTACTGCTGTGGAAGCCTTGCTGTCATTTCTCTTTCTTTATTAATTGTTCCTATATTGTATTTATTTACTTCTAAGGAAGTTCTTTTTTCCCAAATTATCTTAATTTAGAAATGTTTTCTTTGCATTCATTCATAGCCAATAATAAAGAGATGGGGTATAATTTCTAGGATCTGTCTCCTATTACACTGAATAGTTCTATTGGTATATCCTGATATCTGTGACGAAAAGTAGGACTGAACGCTATTTTTGCTACTATCTAAACATATATATGAGGGTCCCAACTGAAACTAGTGTTGTCATATTTCGCTTGTAAAGAGGAAAATTGATGCTTGATGCTTGATTGTTCTTTTGCAACAAGATTTGGGAAAGGAATACTTACAAAGTCAAAATAGTGTTTGTCCAGAGCAGCTTCAGTTAAGATATCATGAACTGAAGAGTTCCTGCAATATGAAAAGAGAAATAATTGCTTAGTGAATCCATCAAAATCAGTTAATATGGTGCCAAAATTCGACATTGAACTTTAAATGAATTCATATTTCTAGTTGAAGTTGCCTGGTAAATGTGTTTACTTTTTTCTGATTAATTATAGACAATTTCATTACTGTAAATTGATGATAATTAAGTAAATATCTGTTTAAATTAACAACCAGTTATAATGGCTCTAATGCTAACCACCTCCAGAAATATTTGACCGAAAGACGCATTTGATACTGAGAATCAAAAAAAGCTTGCTGAAAGGTTAAAGTTCGAGTAACTAAACTCATTGTTTATTTAAAATAACCAAATATAAAGATCAGTTATTACATGTAAGGTTTTGATGAATAAAGATTAATTTTTTCAAACTCCCAAAAAATTCATCTTAAAGAAAAAAAATAAATAATATATTAAAAAAATAAAATATTTTTCAACGTGAGATTTTTAATCAAATCTATTTACAAAAGAGAAAATATCAAAAATGCAAACCAAATGAAATTCTTTTTGGCAGTAATGCACACATTTTCGAAATGCACATATTTCGAAATGCACATATTTCGAAAGCATATAAAATTATTTGAAGCCTGAAAAACTACTGAATAATATTAACATGAAAAGTAAAAAAAAACATCCAAATATTAAACGTAGACAACCAAATAAATTTCATCACTAAATTGCAAACATTCATTACGTTAAAATACCCTAAAGAAAACTTCAAAACAAACCCAACATGTAAAACTCAAAAACCCAATCAAAAGTAAATTACTGTACTGTACTGATGCGGCATTCACCCTGGGCGGATTGAGCCGGCTTCTTCCTGTTATGAGAAGAAGATTCTTGGGATAAATTACAGAAGTAGGGTACCCAGGCCTACTCGGATAACGTTCTTGCTTGCCGCGGGGTTCCCACAGACGCAGAGACAGGAACGACCAGAAGCCGCCGGTTACCGATGCAGACGCTCCTTGGATTTTCACCAGAGCCCTTGTTAGCCGGCGTGTGTGTCAGACCTGTCCGCGTTGGGTGGCCCTACCAGGAACGAAGGTCTGGGCGGCATAGCTCTGACACTACCGTTTACATCATTTAGTTTTTCGCAGATTCTATAAAACTCAGTAACCCCTTGCATGCTAGTGGCTTTATTGCCTTGCTTGGGATATATATATATATATATATATATATATATATATATATATATATATATATATATTTATTTATTTATTTATTTAAGATATTAAAACAAAACTCTACTCTGTTAAACTCTACTCTTTAAATTAAATGTTATGGACAGTGAAATTATACTCGATTTATTCTCATTTTACCTTTGTATATATATATATATATATATATATATATATGATTAAAATGAAAAATGGTCCACATGTGCTTCTTATAATATGTAGATTTAATAAGCCTGTTAATGAAATCTGAGGAATAAAAAGACGCCAAAATAATAGCAATAAGATTGATGATATTATATATATATATATATATGTGTGTGTGTGTGTGTGTGTGTGTGTGTGTGTGTGTGTTATTTATTACATATTAGGCTTTTGACAAAGAAAAATATTTTTAAACTGAATTTTTGGGAAACGCCTGTGTCCTTTTAAAAATAAGACAAGGAATAAACAAAGAAGTGGCACTTAATCTTCTGAGGAATGATTTTGTTGCTGGTTAGATGGTCCCCCGGCAGAAAATATATTCCCTGAGTAAAGCCAAATCGCTGTTTAATCCTGTAATATGTGATTTTATTTTGAAAGGGTATTTTATCTCTGATCTGCATCTTTGTTGTCAGCTGTTAAATGAAGATGTATCTAATGTCATCAATGCTATGAATTGGTTGGTTGAAGTGTGCAGCGACAGGTAATTGTTGCGCTTGTCTTTGAGGGTTTTTATGGTTATTGAACTGAAGATCGAATTCTAGACCTTCTCTCTAACATAATTACTTTTTTTTTGCAATATGAGCACTGGTAAAAAATGGTTACTGAAGACATTAGGTTTATAATACCCAGAAATTCATACACAGATGTCCTCAAGGACACATGGCACAGTGGATAAAGGCGTTAGATTCAGTGACAGGACCCAAAGGGTGTGAGTTCAAGAGAGGGGAATAACCCTGCCAGAGGGGAATTAACAGGAGATAACAGATAACTGACATCCATTAGTCATACCACGTGGTACAACGGCCATATCGTAATAAATAAGGGGTTCCATTGTATGTTTATTGAACTCACACTCTTTGGGTCCTGTCACTGGATCTTAACTAATGCCTTTATCTACTGTACCATGTGTCCTTGAGGACGTCAAACTGTTCAATCCCAAAAAGAAGCCAGGAAAATAAGTTAACAATTTTAACTAAGTTAAAGATGGGGCGTTTTCTGATATGTTTTTGATATATCCTGAAATAAAGAATAAGTTAAAGATATTTATAAATTAAAAAAAACACCCACTCAGAAAATATTTGCCAAAACACACACAAACACACGCACGCACACACGCACACACGCACACAGGCCCCCCTCCCATTGGAGAGGGAAATTAACATGAGACAACTGATAACTGATATCCATTAAACATGGCACGTGGAACTAGATCAGTCTACCCCAGTGAGCAAAATAAAGGGTTCAGTTCGACATTGAAACATTGTCATAAATATGGCGACAATAGTCTGAATAATGTAAATGGTGTACAATTTGCAATGCTTTCTTCTTCGTAAATGGATGCAATTAAATTGAGATAGATATATAGAAGGCATACTCACTGAGCATTTATGATTGCAGTAACTTTTAGATCTTGAACAGTATTCAATTTGTCATTGCAGTTAAAATTCCATTTGATGTCTGAACAGTTTTTGAATTTGCAAAGAATAAAAGCATTTTCAGCGTTAAGCTTTTCCATTATTTCAGTCAGTTTGGGTGTCATTGCTTTTACAACAATAGCGCAAGTTGTCGACTTGATGGAATATTCAAGATTGAGGGTCACGGAAACTGCTGTTGTCTTGATGACTGAAAGAAAAAATCTTAAAATATTAATAGAGGAAAGGACTTCATATAAATCACTTGCCTTATCTGGCCTTTACTTAACTGGCTCACAGTCACATATATGGGTCATCCAGTAAGAAATTAACTTAAAATGGGCTTCCAAACTAGTTTAAACCACAGCTAGGGAACGAAAAAGGTATTTACATATTTGGTATAAGGTAATATATATAGGTTATCTTATGAGAATTCAACTTGGCACATACCAGACATGCTTGTTAATCAATACTCTATGGCAACAAACATAATTTGACAGATGTAAATAATACATTTAAAAGTTAATCGGTTGATGATGAAGCAACCTAAATATTTTTTTAGTAAATGACCAATATATACCAATTAGTATATAAAAGACATTTAATTCAAAAGAACAATGTTTTCAATATTTTTAAGTAAAGTCTAGTGAGTGCAAAATAATAATAATTCCTTTTCACGCACTCTCACTTCAAATTCCTGTCTCGGGTAAGATGATAAATTACACCTGACAGCCAAAGGCCTTTGATCAGGAGGTTTAGAGAAGCATTTTGAGAACACCTTTTAATTGCTAGTGTTCCTAAGTCCATCATGACCCAGGGTGGTAACACCTGTTAGGGTCCCAGCTATTGGCAAATAGTTAACCCCCACAAAAGGGGTCAAAATACAATGAAAGTATAAAAAATAAAATACTTTTTTGGAAAAATTATTACCAGGAGTACATTTTTTTTTTAAATATATTACCAGCAATACATTTTTTGTAAAAATCTTGTTGGCATTAAATAACCTGTTGAGGCTGATATTTCATAAAACAATTCAAACAAAACCAAACGAAGACATGGCACGTGGAACTAGAACAGTCTACCCCAGTGAGCAAAACAAAGGTTTCAGTTCAACATTCCAACTTTTCAATTTCACTGAAACAGAAGTTATATACTTCTATATTCTCTTCTTTATTTTTCTCACTGAAACCAAGTAGTGTCTCCGATATGTCTTTTCTGTCTTTCCATGCAATCAAAATAGAATAATTCATTATTTAGGAGATATTGGCAGGGCGTAATGTACGTGCTAACTAAGAAACTAAGGGAGAGACAATCAGAATTATAATAATAACCAGCCAAATCCACATCTTACAATCATTTCTCTTAATAATAATGTAAAAATAATTCAGCAGACGATGTTATTTTATTTATCGTAACTAAACTTTTGGCGATTGCCTTACTCGGTTTCCATCGTTTGATTTTGCACATCTGAAAAATGTCACCGTTATATTGTGTACTGTTGTGTTGTTGTATGACCCATGATCCGTAGTCAAATCTTGAATTCCAAGTTTCTCAAATTCGCAAAGTCTACTAGCTTCTCTTAATCTGTGATGATATTGCATAATTGACTCCTCAAAGTTTCTGACAGAAATTTCGTTCTTTTTACTATGACAAGTTTCTTTTTAGGACTTAAACTTTTTTTTATAATTTCTGTAATTTAGACAAAAGTAAAATTCTCCAATTATTTGGGGTATGCCATAACAGAAATTTTCATTATATCTTCACAACCTGCCGAAATTATAAAGAGTTCAGTTTTTTAATTTTCTCCCCCTCTTGCCTCGTTAAATTTCAATTCTTTTTAGCCCTAGCCTGGGTTGCAAAACAACGGATCCAAGTCTCAACAAAGTCTGGTTCATCCGAGCGACTTAAACATCCTATCATCAGAATCATATTATTGTATTTTTGTCTTACGACGCGTGATCAGTAGTCAACTTCTGCCTGTCTCTTTACTATACACTTTATCTCTCTCTTACATAACAGGCAAATAGGTAAATTCCTATATACCAATCAACTACAGGCGCTTTTACTGCAGTTGCCATTGTTTGATCAAAGAGTAGTCTCTCTTTACCAGCTTAATCTGATTCTCTTTCCCCACTTGTATCTTCTCATCTTTCTTTCTGCCAGTTTCTCACTGAAAGCAAGTACTGCTTTTTCCTCTCTGTCCAAACAATCAAAACGGAATAGTCCATTATTTATTGACAGGACGTAACGGTCATGCTAAACTAACAAATTGGGAGGAAAAGCAGAATCATAATAAGATAATGACATTATTTAAGTATTAAAGAAAATAGAGAATTAATAACAATTAAAATTATAATAACATTTTATTAAGATGTTTAACCAATATTGGTTTTAATATTATTTTCCTGATGTATTGTCTTAGCCAGAAAAGTTCTTATAAAAGCCTATTGTGAATTAATCCAATTGAATCTGATTCAATAATTTTTTTATGATGAATAAATTTAACCATTTTGGTGTTTTGAAAATTGAATGGGGAATGGTATATATTCTATCTGGGTGAATAAAGAACTTAATCTGTCTCTAAGTTTTCTAACATATATATATATATATATATATATATATATATATATATTGTATAGAACACGTAATGTATATAATGTCTATATACGTATATTGTATATCTTTCAAAGGTTATCATAGCCGGGGGTTATAGTGGGAACAAACTCCCACTGCGTCTCAAAAAGCTTCTGAAAATTAAGTTCAGCTGCAAGCTAGAGAATAGGTGAACGCAGACAACTGGCACCACAAAACCAGCTATTTCATGTAGGTGGAGCTCGATAGTCCAGGAAGGCGGTTCATCTAAGGAAAAGAAATTCTGATTTTAATTAACCCCTGCTGCTTTCTGGTCGTACTGAGACATGCAAAAGCTTTAGAAATACTGTATTTACCGGCTTACAAGACGCATTTTCCCCCTAAAAATACTCTGAAAAATACGTGTGCGTCTTCCAAGACGAATGTAAGGCAATGGCCAGGCTCGAGTAAGCTGGACGGTTACCTAATTGGCTTGACTGATAGCGATGTGGATTTGTATGTTGAGTCATTACACTATAGTGTTATCTATCTATCTATCGAATTCAGTCTTTTATATGATATAATCTCAGTACTTAGCTGTTACAAGTATTTCCAAGACTATAAAACCTTCCTGGAGCCGAGTCAAAATCTTAAACATGCTCTGTTTACTATCAGTGGTAGGAGCCTTTCTGGTCTTGGCATGTCATTGCCATACAAACAAAATCGGAAGTGTGATCATCAAACAATCCGTGGCGCCAGTATGTGAGGGACGCATGGTGAATGTGTTGTTGTATGAGAATGACTTTTTTTTCTTAGAAATTTCTTTCCAATATTAGGGTGTGTCTTCCAACCTGCAGCGTCTTGTAAGCCGGAAAATATGGTAAATGCAAACAGAAAATCTGGAGTTGATCCCTGGAAGCGGTTAAGTCCCCAAATGTAATGCCATGTATTCGCTTGGATCTTGTCGGTTCAGTCGAGAAGGGGCCATTTAATCTGGGCAGTATGTAAACTCCATATATCATTGCCTGCACCCTTGAGAGGTCATTCCAGTTTAATCACCAAAGAACAGACTAAACAGGGTGCTACCTTTATCTAGCAAGATAAATGAATGCCTACCATATGCTATAATAATGTTAGCATGATCAATGTTCATGTTCCTTCTCGTCGTGCCTTCTTGGGCTAACATTATTGGCTGACATGATGTGGAAAGACTATATTGAATCCATTACTAGGTTTTCTGCTAGAAAATTTAGTTTACTGTGTCGTTTTTCATTCCTGATTCTATTTTACATATCTATAAGTCTACCATTTGTCTACGCTTTAAAAAATGCTGCCGTGTATGGTCTGGTGTTCCTGCTATATATTTGGAGATTCTTAATAAACCCCAAAAATGAATCAGCAATATTATTGGTCCTGACCTGGCATCTCGGCTTAAGACTTAAAATCTGATGATAATAAAAAGAATCAAAATAATAATAATAATAAAAAAAAATGAATGAAAAACTCAAAAATTGATCGATGAGAACTACTTACGGCCACATGAGGGAAATCTCATGGGTAGGTATGTCTTTTCTGGGTGCCAACTCCCTGAAGGTCCGCATGTGAAGAGTAATGGTGCAGGAGCAGTTAGAGATCGGTCCTTATTGCAGTTTATATTACAAGAATAATAGGGGAATTCCTGATAATTACAGTGAGTTGTTCCTTCATAGGGATTTTCTGGTTTCGTACAGTTGTCCCCTATAAAATTAAAAATAAAATGGTGATGGCAGTGTTAGGGTGGGAACAAAAGAAAATAACAACTAAATAACAGTTGAGGTCAAATGTAATAAAACGATAGGGTCTCTTAAAGAAATGAGAATTGGACCATTTCAAAGAAGAATGTTTAGATAGATTGATTTGTTTTTTTGGCTTATGAACATTTTGAATGTTATTTAAAGCCAGAAAATATTTTTAAATGGTAAGAATTTTTAGGAAATAATAATGTTTTACCAATACTACTAATTAACCTATATCTGGGGGATAAGTGGTGGATTCAAACCTTTCCCAAGAGTATTTGCACGTAATGAACCCAACTGGAATTGGAGCTCGAGTCTCTGATTTCCAATTTCAAGACATTATCCATTATATCACCCACATAAACAAGATTGCAGCTATTGATATTCCCAAGTGGTCATCCATCTTGGTACTGACCAGGCTCAATATTGCTTAACTTCACATTATTCTGTCACACACACGCACACATTATTAAATAAAGTTTCTCTTTTTGTTCATCAACTTTATTCTTCGAAAAATAAAAGAATGAAACTTTATTCAGTGATATATTCTCTATTATTTGCAATGAATTCTTGTCACAAGTCAGATTTCTCTTCGATATATTTTGAATGAGATTCCACAGGTTTTGATATGAAAAAGTTCTGAAAAGATGGTTTTCATTAGCAAACGTTTTTCTACGTATTTCTGTTGAAATAAAACAACATCATAATCAGTTTGGTGCAAGGTGAATATAACGAGAAAGATAGAATAGACCAACTGAATCTCAAAATGTTTCTTGTTATTCTTTCTCTATGAATATTTATTGTGCCGGAAATTTTGTTTGTGAACAGTTCCATTAATTTCAACTGTTGCCAAAGAAGTTGGTGAATTGGATGATCGTCCATGAAGAAGGAAAAAACATTCTTTTTGTGATGTTCTATCTCACCCTCATCGCCAAATCATTATACCTTCTGTTATAGCAAAATAATCAAGTTGAACATCAGATATTGTTATTATTTAAAACCTTTATTTTTGGTAATAATGACTTGTAACTATGGGAGAGGATTGAATAGAGCTGTGTTTTGTATGTGTGTTTATGTGTCCGCCATTATTGTAGTCCTCCCAAACCAAACTCGTCGATCAAGGCCAATAACTCCATATGGTTATCTCCCTTAGTTGGATCCACCATGACAATACTAAATGCACATTTATACGTCCATCAGCTGGAACATGGATGTCCATAAAAGTTTGATGAAAAAACACCCTGTACATTAATTGTCATGGAAGAGAACAGATTTGTTCCAGTTGATCAAACTATTATGGGCATCTATGTTCCAGTTGATGGACGTATAAATGTGCATTTAGTATTTGATTGCATTTTAACTCTAAATGAAAATATATTATTACCACATGTACCACAGTCACTTTTCCTATTAATAAGTTATTTCTCATGCCTGATGAGTTGGTAAACAATGAAACTTGAGTTGCACCCCAAGCGAAACGCATATGTATATTTATTTATATATATATCTATATACAAATGTTTGGAGGTACAAAATTTATAAATAGTTTTAAAAACAAAGAAACCATTGATTTTAATATTAAAGTCTCTAGAGCCCTTTCAGAACATCTCATCAGGAACAATCGTTGGATTAGCGAAAACCTTTTATTGCCGGCAAAAGAATTTATAAAATAACGAACAAGTAAATATGTTGGGGAGGATATTTTATTTTAATGTCCTAGCTATTTATTTTAAAATAAAATATCCCCAACAAGTATATTTACTTGTTCGTTCTTTATAGGTGTTTAGAAAACCTTTTCTCTTCAATATCGCTATTATTCATTTATAAATCCAACGATTGTCTGTTGATGAGATGTTGGCTGAAAGGGCTCTAGAGACTTTTAATATTAAAATCAATGGTTTCTAGTTTTTAAAACTATATATATCTATATCTATATCTATATCTATATCTCTCTCTCTCTCTCTCTCTCTATATATATATATATATATATATATATATATATATATATATATATATATATATATATATATACAAAGTATATAATTGGTATACACGGAATGAATTCCAATAACCAAAAATTACTGTAGTGATTTTATAACATACTTATGTTATAAATTTTTTTATAAAAATAATTATATATATATATATATATATATATATACAGAATGAGATGGATATGAAAAGGCAACAGTAGAAATTTTATACCGAAAAAACAAACTTAAAAAAATGAAAATGCTCAAATTATTTCTTTTAATTTAAAAAAAAAAATCTTTTCTTACCTTTTGCATAAACCATGAAGTTACAAAGTGCGACATTGTCATTTTTATCTTTGGCTTCATAGGTAACTGCATAATGACCCCAGATGACTGTTGTACCTGGAATAAATAATCATAAGAAATCAATAAAAATTTTTGGAACTTGTTAATCACCTTTCATTTACCATTCTTCTTGGCGCCAAAAATAAATTGCAAGAATTTTCTATGCGAACTATTCAGGCAGACAACAACATTTTATAGTTTTGGCTTTGATTACTTTTCATTTTATTCCTAACTTTATAACTCATTGTGGCTAGTCATTTTAATTTATTCAGAATAAAAAGGAGGAATACTTCTTCTGTTACAGGTTGACTTTGCTTTTGAGCATGGCAAACAAAAGAAAGGACTAGGATTTTTCATTTGATATAATCTCAAAAAATTAAGATCTTTTGAAACATAAAAACCAACCAATTTTTGGCTACTATCACCGACCATTTCTTAATATTATCACCCAGAAATAATAATAATAATAATAATAACTTTACAATACACACAGAGAGAACAATCAAAGCTAATCACCCAGACATCGGGATTAGAGATCGCAAGGACAAAATGTGTCTCCTTATTGATATGGCAGCCCCTACAGACTGTAATATATCTTTGAAGATCTTCAAAAACATTAAAATTCAAGAACCTTGAAATTGAAATCTCAAAAATGTGGCGCAGGAGGATACTAACAATTCCAGATGTAGTTGGAGCCCTCGGATTGATTGCCAAAGATTCTGATAGACTCACTGAAGGGATCGCTGGTAGCCTAAGCCTTAATGAAATACAAAATATTGTACTCATGAGTACAGTTCACTCTTTAAAAAGGGCTTTATGAATGTGAAATATGTGTTATTTTTTTTTCAAAACTGTTCAGTGGAAAATATCATGATGCCATTTCTGACCTTAGGTTTCTGGTCGGGACCCGGAAAGAAATGAGTATATACCAGAAACCAAAGAAAATAATAATAACAATAATGTTAACAAACGCTGGCATGGACAACACCCAGCACTGATTACAAAAATAGAAAACATCACAATTTTATGGGATTACATTATCTTTACAGACAGGAAGATGAAGTAAATATGCTAAAGATAATTTTCCCAAACTTGCCTCCTAACTGATATGGCTTTTCTAGCAAAATGTAACATAGCAATTGAGGAATTTGAAAAAATATTGGAAATCAAAATAGAAAAAATGAAAACAAGAATAGTATTAGTCATAGCAGGTGCACTTGGAATGATAAAAAAGGAACACAATAACACAAAATCCCTGGAAATCCCTGCTTAAGAGAAATACAGAAAATTGTCTTGATAAGTTCAGCCCACACGCTAAGAACTTAGTGATGTTATGGGAGTTAGAAAAACAAATCATGAAATATAGCGATAACAATACACAACTTCCTGCATTAGGTCTTCCTGCAGACTTCGTAGTTAGTGTGACCATAGCAGAAATTGAAATACAATGATGATAATAAAATAATGATAAAAATAATAATGATAATATTATCTAGTATTACCTGTGAAAATTTTGCAGTTTTCCTATTTGAATTTTCTGATGAATCTTAATTCTTCACTTAATGACTGAATAAGTTCATGCTAAGTTCTATGGTTATTAAATACTAATGGAAATTCTCCTTGTTGCAACCTAGGGAATGTTATTGAATACAATAATCAAACCAAGTTTGGTAATGAATGATAATACTTAGAACACGAACAACACATACAAGATTCACGTGGTGTGTAGAGAAGTAGTCAACTGCTAGAAATGATTCAAGTGAATTCTGCTGACCAACATACAGTATTTACTACTTATGTAAATGGGGACATAACTTCTTATTGTCCGTAGGTATGCTTCAACACTCCTATTGAATTGTTGAATATTTGAGCTTAACAAATTTAACCAAATATTACAATATCATCATTATGAATGCAGATCATTATTTAAAGAAGAAGATACAAATGAAAAGATTGAAAATTGACAAGTTTTTTCTATTTCTCTGAAGCAGACATTAAACATATGAGAATGTTATCACATCCTCGATGTTCTTTATTTGTTTCTTTTTTTTCTCACTGAAACCAAAAAGTATTTCTAATCTTTTCAATATTTTGAAATTGGAATATCTCCTTCTTTATGAAGTATTGACAGGCTGCAATGTAATATGCTTTGTGTCTGGCTGTCCAATCTTGATACAAAGGGAATGCAAATATCAACATAACATTGGGCAGTATATCCAGAAGAAGATATGTCAGTATATATATATATATATATATATATATATATATATATATATATATATATATATATATATTTAAAAAAACAGACCACTTTTAAGGTTCCATGTAATAAATTATTTCACCACAACCCTTTTAAAGGACTGCAGATCATCAGACTTTATTTCCAAAGGTTGAAACAAAAAATGAAAAGAAATTTACACGTTTTTGACGGGCCGTATTAAGCATATGTAAATTAACGAAGTCAGGAAGTGAGGGGGGAGAGAGAGAAGACATGAGTGAGTTAGATGTAATTTAATATTTCTATTCTTTTATACTTAAAATTACTTGAGGCTGTGGTGAAATAATTTATTACATGGAACCTTAAAGTGGTCTGTTTTTATTTAAATTATTTGCTCCTCCTTGGGTCTACCCATACGTATTACCTAGTTTTTCATAAACTATATATATATATATATATATATATATATATATATATATGTATGTATATAAATAACCAACAAACCACCCATAGAAATGAAACCCACCTGTAACAGCAGTGCAAAGAATGAATGTCCCTTAAATGGCAATTGCTTGCAAAACAATATAATATACCAAGCCACTGTAAAATCAGCAGATAATGACTTTACGACTTTACTATTGACACTGACAGAAAAAGAAAAGTTAATAGATCAGGGATAAGGATTAAAGACTACAAACAAAAGATTTACCTTCTCATCAGATAAAATATTTCTGTTAAAGAATATAGCAAAATAAATAAATATAAGGATCTTGAAATTGAAAATTAAAACTATAAAAAAAGAAACAAAATGGTACAAACGAGAAAATCGCTGGAAGACCTGTCTACAAGAGATTCAAAGGATTGCATTGTGTGGAACTGTTCATCTAATCGGGAGAAAATAGAAACACTGTACATGTTAATTTGCACTTAACATCAGAATTTGTGCAAACAAAATGTATGCATTTATTACCACCCTTTAGCTTATGTCGCAGAAATAAGATGATGTTCAAGAGGAGGAGGAGGATAATAGTGGTGATAGTAGTTTATTCCCATCTCTATAAATCTAAAATGAATGAAGAATTTGCTTCTTTTTAACTAACTAGTTCATATGTTAAATTGAGGTTATAAAATAGTTTTTACCATTTCCTAATTAAGACATTGTTACTTGTCCTTACAATAACCTCATGACAAAGTAATAAAAAGGAAACAAAAATGATTTTTCAAATGTAAAATAAAATAAAAATAAGAAGTTGAAAGTTCAGAGATTTGTCATCTTCTTGAAAACTCACCTGGACGATAATTCTGTCTTAATTCTACATAGTCAGTAAATTGTGGAGGATCCCATTTTAATAATGTCCTTCCCTGGTTACCATAATTGCTGACCATTTGTGGACAGTACTTGGTGTCTATAAATGTCTGAGCAACTGAAATGGAATGAAGAAAATATTTTATCATTATTATTTTATTATTTAATTATTATTACATTATCATATTATATTATTTCAGTAATATATTATTTTATTATCATATTTTATATTATGTTATTATTTTTTATTATTATTATATTATATTATTAAAATATTATTTTATATCATTTTATTATATTATTTTGTTATTATATTTCATTATTATATAATTTAATATTATTTTGTTATTTTATTATTATTTATTATATTATTTTATTATATATTATTTTTTTATTATTATTATTTATTTTATTATATATTATTATTTTTATTATTATTATATTATTTTATTATATATTATTATTTTTATTATTATTATATTATTTCATTACTATTATATTATTATATCATCTATTATTTCATTAATATCATATATTTTTTTGTTATATATTTTATTTATTATTTATATTATTTTATGTTTTATTATTATTATATTATTTTATAATATTATTTGATATATTATTATTTTATATGACTTCATTATTATTTCAATGCTAATAGATTGTTATTTACATTGATGTTAGTAATATTCCTGTCAAAATAAAAATGGATTTGTAATTATGAAAAAAATAATAGCTAATCAAAAAGCAAGAGAAATAACTGTATTATTGTTGTTGTTGTGTCATTATTATCTTCATCTGGACATCTGGACATTATTATCTTCATCTGGACATCTGGACATTATTATCTTCATCCTAACATTGAGCCAGATTTGACCAGTGACTCTTGTGTCAGTTGTCACATTCTGCAGCTAAAGATAAAAATTGTCGTTATTCCACATATCCAGTTTTCCATTAGTTATTCTATTTGAAATCATATTTTTGTATCAGAACAGTTTTGGAAAATCTGCTGTGAAAAATAAGGAAAGATGAGGATATTCATCCAATTAGTTTATAGAGTAATGAAATATCATTTTTACTAGCACTGCACAGCAGATATGTTAATTAACAATTAGTTGGCCTAAAATTATAGGCTGATTAATTAGACTAATCATTTTGTCTAATGCCTAATTCTTGTATAGAATGAGTTCATCTTCTGGAAGACAATCGGAATTATCTGAAAATTTTATATTTTTTGATCATCTTTCAAGTCTTCATATTGTAACTTTTCTTTAATGACATTTTTTTAGACATGAGAAATGAAAGAAAATATTTGGACAAGATTTTAAAAGTTTAACATTTAGTTAAAAAAATTAATTTGACTACAGTAAATGGATATATAGTTTGGTCAACAGCATAGCCAGGGCCAGTAGAACATATGCTAATTTTATATCCCACCTATCATGTGAACCCTTAAAATTAACTTCAAAATTCGGTCTTCAAAAGGCGCATGATATGCGGGTATGTATTGTATATATAACAAACCAACCTATAAGAATATTTTTTGGAATTTATGTAAATTCTGACTAGATTATAGAAATTGATAGCATATAGAGTGGTCAAAAAAGGGGGATGAGTGTAATACTAAGGAACAATACAAAACTGATCCCTTACTTTCTATCGTCCTTGATTTAATTACCTATAAGGATGTTTTGGAATTTTATATCTGAATCTACTATGGCCAAGATATGGAGGATGAGTTTAGTAGTAAAGAACAATACAAAACTGATCCCCCACTTTTTACCATCCCTTTTGATTATAAGGATTTGATTTAGTTACTGTACATACTTGTGTAACATGCAACCTTTGAAGACCTAATTTTGAAGCTAATTTGACGAGAGTTAATGTTTGGTCAACAGTACAGTCGGGGCCAGCAGTACATACACTAATTTTATATCTCATTATTGATGCAACCTCCTTAAAATTAGATTCAAAATTTGGTCTTCAAAAGTGGCATGATACGTAAGTATATACAATAGATACTTATGTGTGAAGTAGGTTAAAGATATCCTACTGCCGAGGATTTAGGGACCAAATTAGATTTGTGATAAAAGATACCATTATTTTGCCTGACTTGAGTATGTAGCAAATGAGAGAAAGAAAATTTAGATTGTATTAAAGACGACAACAACAGACATCTTGTGATCAAAACAAGAAAGAGAAAAACAATTGGTACAAATTAATTAATTCATAAGACTAACAACGCTTCATCTTAGAAATCTATAGTAAAATGTCATTGTAATATGTTCACACAGTAAGACATTTTGTCGGTTTAATGTTTGTGCAAATGTCAAAGGAAAATATTTGGTCCGAAGATTGTGGTTTATTAATCTTTCTATTGGAAGCGGTTTTCTTGTCTCTCTTGAAAAATCTACATTTAAAATTTTAATATTTTATCTCAGATACAAGACATGTCGGTGGCATAATGCTTAGCACTCACAAAGTGAAATCAGAAAGCCAGGTTCAAATTGCAGGTTAGTTTATTGCATTCACTTTCATACAAATACCCTTGTGAAAGATATGAATCTATCTCTCCACCCTCCAGCTTTGGGTTAAATATCAGAGCAGACTTGACTCATTAGACATGTTTGACAAGCAGTCTAGAAGGAAGAAAACTCTGAATTCAAAAACACATGGCAATTACAAAAGCTGATGGAGTTCACAGTTATCTGTGGTGGGTGGGTTGGGGCTTAGATTCTTTGATCTCAACTGAGGTTGAATAAAAACAAAGCAAAGTCCTATTCAGGAAGATAGAAATATGAATTAGTGTGTTTTCTTACCTGTGGAAGAACTCCCATTAATAGTACTGGGGACAATCCTACGGACTCCTCTACCCAGTTGGTAATTTCCCCAACCAACTAAAATATTGCTGAGACTTGCTTTTGGATTGGTAACCAGTTGAGTGACGTCGGTTTTAAAATTAAGATCTTTACTGTACAAATTGACTTGACCCAATTCACCATAGAATCCTTTGTTGACAAGAGGCGCATTCTGTTTCTCGTCAAAATAGCAACCAAGAATAACAATACATCTGAAATGGGAAAAAAGAATTTTCAGGTCAATAAAAAAATGTGGATTTACTTGGCTAAGCCATACTCAGCATAAAGATCTCTTTCTTTTCAGAGAAATTCATGGAATAACATGAACATCAAAATAAGCCATCCAAGTCTACGGTTCACTCATAGATGGTGCCAGAAAAGACATGGAGCCGCTTACACGCGGATCATGCCATCAACTTCATGAGTTCGAACTCGTTGGTGATTGCTGATGCGTTCTCACGGTATCCATGTATTCACCCAACGGCATCCACATCCAGGAGAGACACTTTAGATCTGCTGGAGGGAGAGGATTTCGTTCAGATACCCTCACACCCTGGTTACGCATAATGCATCGAATTTCCTTTCTAAAGAATATCAGAGCTGGTACGAAGAACGTGGGATCACGTACCTAACAGGAGCGTCATACCATCCAGCTATCAACGGAGCAGCTGAACGTTTGGTGCAGACTTTCAAACAAGCACTAAGAAACACTTCTCTGCTCCCGAAACGAGTTCTTCAAGAGTTCTTGATGCCAGTACTGGAGAACATCGACATCATGTGGATTTTCTCCAAGCGAACTCTTGATGTCACAGAAGATAGGATTGATTCTCTGTTGCACACATAGATCAAGGTAAGCAATCCAAGGTGCCATCAAAGGCTGAGATGACTCCAAACTTGGGAGGTGTCACCAAAGTAACCAGATAGTACAAGGCTGGCGATCCGATATATGCCCTGTACTTTGGACCTCACTGGGACAAAAATCCCCGATAGGTACCAGCAGTCGTCACAAAGTCATTGGATACTCATTGCTTCAACGTCAAGTTTTTTTTTCCTCATGGCCCAGTATGAAGACGACACTGGGAACGGCTACGTCCGCGCTACGCTTCTTCAAAGGACTGCGAACCTAGAAATTAGACGGGCGATGTTTCTGACCTTCCAATTGATCATCCAAGCTCAAGGATAAATCAGAGCAGACCAAACCGCCTCTACCAGAATATGGACCAAACAAACCTAGACGATCTAAGAGAACACCCAAGTCCAGAGAGACTTTGTTCTTGATGCTTTTAGTGTAGCATTAGTTTCACTGAGGAGGTGTTGTAGAGCTCACTAGCATCTAGATCTGTCCAATGAAAATTGCTGGTATGCCAATCTGTCCAACAGAATTGAAGAGAAAGTTCTAGAACTCTCTAGAATGTTCTAATCGCACTGCTATATAAGCAATGCTGATGAACCTGTTCATTTTGTCTTTTGTCCTTTGCCCGTCCTACACTGTTGGGGAGACAGTTAATTAACCTATTCGGATTCTCGCAGTTCTTTCTCTGCAAGCGAACGAGAGAAACACGACAAATTGCTCGGATTGAATGGAAAGTTGTAGAACTCTCTAGAATGTTCTAATCGCACTGCTATGTAAGCAATGCTGGTGGAGCGGTTTGACTGTCTTTTAGGCCTTTGACCTTGCCCGTAATGAACTGTTGGAGAGACAGTTAACCTATTTGGATTATCGCTGTGCTTTCTATCTCAGTGAACGAGAGAAACACAATTTCATTGTTTAAAAAATGGGCGTCTACTCAAATACGGGTATCCACTAAATATAAAATTTAAAGTAATAACAAATAATGATGGATTAAAAATACATTAATTGTTTAAAAGAATGATATATATATATATAAATAAATAAAGTCACTTACTTTTTGCCAAAGAAATTAATGATTGGATGTGTAACCTTTTCAAAATCTGCAAAGTTATTAATCCGGAAATCTGTAGAAGTGCCAAAATCAGAAATGGTTATCGTAATCAGATTCCATTTGCCATTATTCATTGAAAGCGTTGTAAGATGTGCTGTCATTTCAATTCCATTGGCTGTCATGTACGTGATTCCGGCCTCACTGATGCGCAAAACTGGTACCTTCTCATCAATAATACCATTTGATCTACGAGTAAAAGGAAGACAAAAAAAGACACATAATGAGGAAAGAAGGCTTGGAGAATTTGACACTCACAGGACATACTGAAGGCAAAAATGGCAGTAGGAATAAACAGCGAGTAATCTACCAAACGGATGGTAGAATACATGGACTGCGAGTAAGGGGACAAACATTACTTATGATAGATACGAATGATAGGAAGTTGTGGAGAGAAATGACTGCCCAAGACCTAAAGAGACACGGCACATAAAAGAAGTATATTTGATTTCTTACGGGTCCAGTGGCAGATTAAACTTACATACTTACCTAATCATAAACAAGTTAAGGAAGGTCCCTTGTCCGTTCATTTCCTTGAATCTGACCCACAAGCTGATAGAAAAGTTTTCTCCAGAAATCAATACGGCAGATTTTAATGTTGCGATCCCGTTCTTTTTGTAGAGATAAAAGTCCAAATCATAATCCCTCGAAACATCTAATGATTAAAAAGAAAGAAAGATATTTATTAGGAAAGAAAAACAGCATTAATAAAACTTAAGTAATTCCGATAACTTTTTAATTATTTCCAATACCCCCCCTCCCGAAGCAAGGCGGTAAAGCCAGTTAAACGCAAGCGGTTACTTAGAGTAAACGTTAGTGACAAAACAAAAGACAATAAAAGAACAGGATTCAGGAAATTTGTAACAAGAAAGTTGTTTGCCGGATGGATCTACGGAAGTAGGAATAAAATCCACTCGGGCGTTAGTCCAGCTTATCTTTCAAAGGAATTCTCTTAACGCCCGCTGGTAGGCATTGTATAGTATATCTGGCCACTTATATTCGAGGATACCTGTCTACTAGGAAAGCTAGCCAATCCCTATTTCAGACGCTTGCTCAGGCACATTTGTGTTTATTCAACACCCACAGATCCTCCCCCCCCACCTGTGGTTTATACTGCAACTAAGTTGAGCAGACGTTAGTTACAGTTTCTTGGAAAGAGCGTGTTATCTAGCATGATCAACAATTTGAACAAGTCCGGCATGCCCGGCCATGATGAAATGTCATCGTGCTACTACAGCTATCGACGGCGCCCATGGGTTTCGTCTACCCAATTTTACTCACAAACTTGAGTCATTTTTCAAAGGCGCTGCACGTTGGGATCGATCCCTCCAGCCCGATAACACCAGGAAGTCTCCTTCCTGACAAAGCGACCATAGTGAGATTCGAACCCGGGTCTCATGGTCAGAATGCAAACATTCTAACCACTCGCCCACCATCGAATAAAACAATATAAAAGGAAAGAATACAAATCCTGTCTCTTCTGCCATTGTGACAAGCCATGTTTCGTTTCTCCTCAAGAGAACGTTCTAGTTCCCAGTCATATCTATGTCTCGCAGACAACGCACAACTGTTTCCTTTTCGAAAAGACCTCATGAGGCCACAATGACATCTCCTCTACAGTCTTTCTCTCTCTCTCTCTCTCTCTCTCTTTCACATACACACAGACACACACACATATACAGTGGGGGAAATAAATATTCGTACACATGAAAAATTGTATTTTTTATAAATGTAAAAGCCTTAACTAAAACAAATTTTGATACATTTTATGTGTAAAGTTACATTTTATTAAAAAATAGTAATAGAATGGTAGCTGTTCAATAAAGGATATTCCACAAAGTATTAAATTAAGTTAATATGCTTTTTTTGTTTTGTACGAATACTTTTTTCATCAGTTAAAATGAAAAAAATGCATTAATTTCTGTTAGAATAAGAATTAAGTTTATTATTATTTTTTAATAGTATGTGTCTTTATACATAAAATGTGCCGAGATTTGTTTTATTTAAGGCATTTATAAAAATTTTTCAAGTGTACGAATATTTTCCCGCCCACTGTATATTATTTCTTTGCACACTCCGTATTCAATATTTGTGTTGAGTTTGGTGAGAAGAAGGCCGTAGAAATCTTTGATAAAAGTTTTTTTTTTCTGTTTTCAGTCTACATTTGAGATTAAATCCCTGCTAGCTTTGTTACAATTCCATTTGAAGATTATCAATTATCAAAAGTTAATAAATTCAGTAGACTTAATTTAAATTTTGAAATGATTTCTAAAAAGTATTACTTTTGTTACAGTTGCTTCCCGTCTTTCCAAATGGACACTCGATAGGTGCTGGTTGTTCACAGGTTTTCAAGGTCGTTGTACAATCGTTTGTGTTCTGTTCGCAATGAAGACCCTTAAATCCTGTAATAGGAAGAACCCGATTAAATATGTAAATGTCAACTTAGTGTCAGCACATTTCAATTTTAAATACAAATAGATCAACATTACTTTATATAGATCGTTACTAATAAGTTGATAAAAAAATAAGTGAAATAGAACGAATAAACAAATATTTAAAATATTATATTTAAGAAAATATACTTGTTGGAAATACATTAATGTGGGAATATTAATCTAGCGTCGTTATATTTCTATAAAGCTCAATCAAAAATAAAATAACTAGAAAATCTGAAACAAACAATAAAAAAATATTTGAAGTAAAATGAAATAAACAAAAGTATTAATTAAAAAGCCTCTTCTTTTACAAATAGCTTTCTTCATTCGCACTTTTGACAAAAAAGGCTTGACTGATGTCTTAAGGGGTTCTTGGGAATCATGTGATAGCACATTGGTGAGGATAGTCTGTTGCTGCTTAGGTCACGACGGAAGCAGACATGAGAATAAGTTACGGTTCGACTGACCGTACGCGTGATACATAGAAACCTAAGGCATACCAGTGGCTGTATTGTGTCCCTATTTTTTTTATCCCCTTCACATACTCTTTGCTTTTCTAAAATGTTACGGCGTCGGATAATTTGTGATACCCGTGTGTGTGTGTGTGTGTGTGTTATTACATCTTAGTATGATATGATATATTTATATACTTCAATGTGGTACATAAAATGTTTTCATGTAGATGTATTTTTGGAGTTCACTTTTAAGTGCTAAGGTGTTACTATATCACTGATATACTAATGCATTATATGGAAGTTGGAGAGTGACGAAAACCAACATATTTCCTCTCCTTTTCCAAGCACAGCTTTAGCTTTTATCTTACTCACAAGATATGTTTTGTAATTAATTCACCTCAAGCAAGGCGCATGGGGTTACTGGGATTGAAAAAGAATGAAAATACTTCAGAAGGAACCAGAAACCGAATCCTAAACAAGAAACAATGGATAAACCTCTACTCCTATTCAAAAGATTAGTGAAGTGTTTGAACCGGGCGATAGTCGAACGTATGAACTCCTACACTGATTCTTTCTTCTCTTGAAAAACGTGTTTATTTTTAATGAACACTTATTCATGAAACAAAGATCGTATTCGTTTATGACTAGTTTTATCTCATTTTTATAGTTGTAGTCTTTTATCAGAAAAGTTTAGCTTGATTCACGATCTCTCGTAGAAGCAACAATTCTCTCGGACGAGACTAAAATCATCAGTCAGAAGAAGATGGGAAACAGATGATAGCAATAGAAAAGAAAAGCCTTATTGAAAACATTTCAAAATAAGCACAAATGTTAATTTCATTTTTCAGAAATCAGTTTTGAATTTGGAACTCAGTTTCTAAGAACTTCATTCTTCTTGTTGAGAAATGAAAATGAATGCCAAAATTGAGGATCAACTTTGTAGCCGTAATCAAGCGTGGATGAAGAAAAATGTCAAGAAAATATTTGACTTTTGAATTTACAAAGGGGAACAAATTTAAATAATAGATTCAATTTGAGATTTTATAGCAGAATTTTCCAGAAATTGTCTACGCTTACCATTTGGACAGTGACATTTGTAACTATTTTTCTCAGGGATACAAGTTCCGCCATTGGCACATTTTTGAGACTTGCAGAAATCAACAGCAATCTGACAACCGACTCCCGTAAAACCTAAAAAAAAAAAAGCAGAAAAAAAAAGTCAAACTCTATTTACATTCTTTGGACTATGGTCCTCATCTTTGTCGCCATATTTATTACAACGTTTCAGCCGTTGTACGCTCCGGCCTTCTTCAAGTGGTTGGAATGTCGAAATGAACACTTTATTTCGCTCACTGAGGTAGACTGCTCTAGTTCTACGTGCCATGTTTTAATGGATGTCAGCTATCCTTTATCTCCTGTTAATTCCTCTCTCCAAGTTTTCCACCACCTTAACCAGGTATTGAACTCACACTCTTTGGGTCCTGTCACTGGATCTAACTAATGCTTTTATCCACTGTGCCATGTGTCCTTGAGGACGTCAAACTGTTCAATCCCAAAAAGAAGCCAGGAAAATAAGTTAACAATTTTAATTAAGTTAAAGATGGGGCGTTTTCTGATATGTTTTTGATGTAATATCCTGAAATAAAGAATAAGTTAAAGATATTAATATCTTTATATCTTCATAAGTTAAAGATATTAATATCTTTATATCTTCATATATATATATATATATATATATATATATATATATATATATATATATATATATATATAAAAAAGATATGTTTGGTGGTACACAATTTTATCACTGCCATGAATAGACATAAATTAATTTTATTACCACTCATGATAATAAAAATAAAAATGAAAACAGGTTAGCTAACCGGTTTCTTACCTCGCTTAACAGAGCTAAATCGAGGTAAATAGAGTAAATTATATAATAAAAAAAAACAATGGACAAAGTTTATTGGGTGTAGAAAAAAAATTATATAATTTACTTTATTTACCTCGATTTAGCTCTGTTGAGCGAGGTAAGAAACCGGTTAGCTAACCCGTTTTTCATTTTTATTTTTTATTATCATGAGTGGTAATAATAAAATCATCAGCATCATCATTATATATGTAAAGCACACTGGTTCAAGCGCTGGTTTCTCTTCCGCGTCTCGTATACACGAGTTTGTCAATGCTTGGAAATCTTTCATGCAACAAAAACAGACTATCATTATCGTTTTGTTCGTGTATTGTTTAATATATTGAAATGTAATTGTCATCTTTGATAATGGCTTATGGAAGCCGAAAGCTCAGATAGGAATAAAAAACATGTATCAGTATTGTGATTTTCTTTCTTCTTTTAATGATAATGTTATTAAGCTTATCAGACAATATGAAAGGAATTTACTTAAAATAAATTGGCAAAACTTGTCTATATTATTTAATGAAACATGCATCAATATATATATATATATATATATATATATATACATATATGAAGAAATATAGTCTTAAGGTCTGCTATATTTATGGGATAAAGTGCTCGATATCAGAGATAGAGCGTGTGTAAATATAAAAGTGAACATAGAAGTCAACACTTAGAGGCGACAGTCTGCTTCATGCTATATGCAATCTTCAGGCCACGTGTGCACTTATGTTTACTTTTATATATATATATATATATATATATATATATATATATATATATAAACAATTTGAACAAAGTCAGCACAGTCAAACTCTCGGTCACGATGACATGTGACTTCATGCAAGGACAGCTATCGACAGCACCCAAGGGTTCCGTCTACCCAATTTCCTTCACAAGACTTTGGTCAACCGGTGGTATGGTTTTCAGGCACTTTCCAAAGGTGCCACACGCTGGGATCCACTCCTCCCATCCGATAACACCAGGAAGTCTCCTTCCTAACAAATCGACCATGGTGAGATTCGGGTCTCATTGTCAGAATGCAAACTTTCTAACCACTCGGCCACGCTCTTTCCCAAAAACTGTAACTAAGGTCTACTCAGCAGTATAAATCACAGGTTGGCTCTGTGGGTGTTGAATAAACACAAATGCGTCTGAGCAAGCGTCTGCAATAGGGATTGGCTAGCCGCCCTAGTACACAGGCATCGTTGAATACAAGTGGCCAGCTATACCATTTGTGTGTATATATATATATATATATATATATATATATATATATATATATATATATATATATATATAATGTTGTTTAATTCGTGGTTATAATATTTGAAACCCCTAACAATATTTTTCTGAAATTATTTTGTTTATTCTCAAAATGAAAAGTAGAAAATAATGACTTTAACCATTTTGTTCAGCAATTTCTTCTAAACAATTTCGTACCCGCGAATGGTTTATTTATTTTGTCTTGTGTCAATGTATGATCCCTTGTAAAAGATATGATTTCAAAGCCTTTTTGCTGTTTCTATTGATTTGTGCTTGTGCTGCACCAAAGATTAACTACTTGAATCCGGAGATGTAAGTATTTGCCGACATATTATTCCGTTTGATATTTTGCATGAATGTTGCTATTTCAGAATTGGCTGGTTGCAACAATATATCGCTTTGTTCATTTGAACTCTTGAGCACGCATTTTGATCACCATCATCTTTGTCGCCATAAATGTCAGCCTACAATGACGCTAGGGTCATTCGCGAGAAAGTCTTTATCGTCATCAGATCGAAACGCTTTTAACATATCTTCAATGTTCACGCTCCCTTTTCTGATATTTGGATTGAAAGATCAAAGACATCAGTCTCCATGTAGACACAGAAATGTTTCCGAATAATTCGCAGAAATATGTAGACAAAGTGAGCAGCAATTAAATTTATTTTATTCCTAACGGTACAAAGCTGCACAATACAGAATTAAATGTTTCAAGCTAATTTACGGACTCTGAAATTGAAGCACATATTTTTATAGATTTAAATATCGAAGCCATTGTACCTGTAAATTAGTTTTAGTGAATTAAGACTAGTACAAATGAAGAAATAGATTTTTTTTAGTACCAACCTTGTTTGCATTTACACTGAGCTTTTCCTCCAAATTCACTACAATTAGCCGCATTAAGACAGGGATTCGCATCTTTACATATGGAAACTGATTCGGAACAATTTAAGCCATACGTGTTTGGCTGGCACCTGTAGTCGATAAAAGAAAACGAATAATTGAATTGGAAATATCAATAAAATCCATCAAAATGATTAAATAAAGAACAAGTAAGAGAACGTAAATAAACTTGATGTTTCTTTATTTTATTTTACGGTCATATCATAAAACACCGATTCTCTACTGATCACCGAAGTTTTGAGACTGGTCAGTACTCAAATGGATGACCGTTAGGGAATAACAGTTGCTGTAAGCTAGGTTAGAAACCTAAAAATCCGGAGATTTCTAGTCATACACAGTTGCTGTAAGCTAGGTTAGAAACCTAAAAATCCGGAGATTTCTAGTCACACACAGTTGCTGTAAGCTAGGTTAGAAACCTAAAAATCCGGAGATTTCTAGTCACACACAGTTGCTGTAAGCTAGGTTAGAAACCTAAAAATCCGGAGATTTCTAGTCACACACAGCTAGATTCTGGTCCAGAAAACTTCCACCATTTTTCGGCAGGGTACAGTCTTTTCTTCTTTTTTTATTTGGGGGTTACCTTCTCATGAGTTGGAAGAGAAGGAGATAGAGAGAGAAGGAGAGAGAGAGAGAGAGAAGAAGAGAAAAAGAAATATGGCGTTTAAAGAAAAACACATTTGAATTCTATTTATTTTCGTTTATAAATTTTTATATTTTATTTTATTTTATCGGGGTCACAACAAAACAATCTAATAAATAACTATTGTTTGTCAAAAATAAACAGAATGTAGCACTTTCATTTCATATGTTTAGGTTTTATTACAATTCTAAAATTTGTTTAGAAAAATCGCTTTTTAAAACAATAAACATTGCCGAAGAGTGCTATGGGAAAAACCGCCCTTTTGAAACTCAGTCTTATTTGACAGACATAGAGGTCCATGTTTACCATAGTTCATTTTTTTTCTAATGGACAATCTCGTATATTCTTTACTCGCGAACTGAACTGGCAAATGGCGTTTGTCAAAACGTTGATAAATACGAAAATTAAGCAAATTAATACGAAAGTAAATCCACAAACAATTCAAGATTAATTCTCTACCAGTTTTGCGACGATGCATCACTCAACAAAGCTGGACTACGGTCACATCACAGAAGTTAAGCAACATCGAGCCTGGTCAGTTCATAGATGGGTGACCGCTTGGGAATGCAAGGTACTATAAGCTTGGACGTGCGGGTTGGCTCATGGAAAACGGTTCGGAATTGTTCATCAGAGAACCGAGTTACAATTCTTGTTGGATTTCTTATATTCACTTAAAAATAAATATTCTTGGGAAAATGAATGAATTCTTCGCTTCTCCCCTAGCTATGGGTTAATTAGTGGGACTTGCATCAATAGACCATTATTATGTCAAAAAATCTTATAATCTAAAAATATTTTCTTAAATAAACTGCAAAGTTTTTATAAACCGTAGAAAACCAATTGATCAATCAGTAGTGTTGAATTCTAAACGATAATCGATTTTAAAATCAATATAGAGAAACACAGACATCTTTATTTTCCCAAGACCTTGTATTTAATCAAAATCCAAAGTTGATATACTATAAGAATCAAAGAAATAAATTACATTCGCTTAACAACGCCTCGTACTCCAGGTATTGTCAGAATTTGAAATAAAGCTTATTGTTGATTAATCCGTTGGGGGAAAGTAGAAAATTCCAATTTAAACGATTTATATTTGTCATGTATGTCGACATTTTTATAGTTGATGAATAAAAGAAATTGTTATTTATCATAGAATATCTATTTTACATTTTAATCAGTGCTTATCAGAATTTTTGGTTACATTCCTCCTCCCCACCCCCGTTGCGATCCCAAGTGCTCCTCAATTTCTGCATTTCGAACTAAATCTCGTAATGTATACATATTATGGAAATTTGTGGAAAAATAAAATAAAAAAAAAAAAATATTTTCCCATGATACATGTAATAAAAGAACTGGAAAAAACCGGAAAGGGTTTTTGATCACATGTGCGATTTCAGGAGCACACTTCCGGAAAGGACAGAATCTTTATTTCCACTCTACAACGACATTTTTCGGACGTGTTTCAGCAGTCCGACTCATAAAGTAAATGAACTGGTTGTTCCAACTCAGCACTAGGCTGACTTGAGATTAACCATTGTAACCAAAGTTATCTAACTTACTTCTGAACCAAAAAAAAAAGAAAATAGACATATGCAAGAGTCATTTGGAACATTATTCCATTACAGACACCATAAAAAAATAAATGTTCGTAATAGAAATTAAAGTCTCTCAAGATTTCTTTGTTTATCATAGCGATTTTTCAAGCGTAGCTTAGATGTGGCACAAGGCCGAAAGTATGGGGCACCCAGTGAGAATCGAACTCACTACTCGGACGTAATTGTTCTAGCGAGACAAGCTTGCTAACCATTACACCACCTTGAGGTGTCCATCTTTGTTTATCATATTGTGGATGTGCACACTTAAAATACACAAACACGCAACTCTGTTAACTTCCATAAATTGCTCTCAAATGTGTTCCTTGATTAATATTCCTCTTGTTATAGTCGAAGTTCTTTCCTTTGCAAATTATTAATCTAAAACGACTTTATTCAGCTTAAATATTGAAATACGCAGCTGCACACTGAAATAGAAAATGTCTCACCTGCAATAATATGTTTTGAAAAGGTTAAAACAGACTGCATTATTGGTGCAGCTGTTCGTGTTACAATAGTCCACCAGTTTCTCACATTGTTTCCCTGTCCAACCGTCTTGACATTTACAGCTGAAATCATTCACTTCGTCATGACAGACTCCTTGGTGAAAACAAGGTTTGCTAAGACATTCATTGATGTTTTCCTGGCATCAAAACAACATTGAAATTATGAGAAAGAAATTCACATTTACATATAAACGACAATTTTTTACTTCTCTCACTCAAAACAAATTAAGCCAGCTAGCATATTGTGACAGTAACATAAAAAACGTGTCATGTGAAAATATAAAAAAGACATAAAAAGTGTTATAAAAATACATTTAAAAATTGGAAAAAACGTAACGAATAAAAACAATATTAAGTATCAGTTCTCACAATTTCACGGTTTCCCTATTTGAATTTTCCGATGAATCATGATTTTTAATTAAAATTAATTAAAATTTTAATTTAATACTTAAATAGGCTCCTTGCGAATTCCATGAAATTCCATAGAAAATAAGCGTGGAAATTTTATTATTGCATTATTAAATATTTGAGCTTCAGAACATTAACAAAATATTGAAGTAACAATCATAAGTATGGATGCCAGGCATTATTTAAAGAAGTAAGAGGGTACAAGTGAAAAGATTTGAAATTGACGCGGTTTTCCATTTCACTGATGTGAATGGAAAGAGTCAGCAATCAAGTCATTTTCCCTTCCAAGTTTAAAGAGCGTCTCTAATGTATTTTTTTCCCTTCCGGCTTTCCTCACAATCAAAACGGAATGATCCATTATTTCGCTGAAGTCATTTTTGCTGGGTTGGAGATGTGGTTTAGTTCGGAAAGTACGAAATGAGAAGCCATGTACAGGAGAGAGAGGGAGAAAGAGAAAAGTCATATATATATATATATATATATATATATATATATACAGAGAGAGAGAGAGAGAGAGAGGGAGAATGTAAAGAGAAAGGCATGTAGAGAGAGGGATGTAAAGACAGAAATCTTGTACGGAGAGAGAGAGAGAGAGAGAGAGAGATTGCAAAGGGAGACGCCATGTAGATAGAGAGAATGGAAAGTGAGAAGTCATATGCAGAGAGAGAGAAATATAACACAAAAAGTCATATAAGAGGGCACGTAGAGAGAGAAAGAGAGTAAAATCATGAAGGGGGAAAGAGAATGGAAAGAAAGAAGTTATATACAGTGAGAGAGAGAATACAAAAAGAGAAGCTTTGTGCAGAGAGAGAAAATGTAAAGAGGCAAGCCATGTACAAAGATGTATATATATATATATATATAGAGAGAGAGAGAGAGAGAGAGAGAGAGAGAGAGAGAGAGAGAAAGCGGGAGAATGCTAAGTGAGAAGCCATGTACACACACATATATATATAAAGAGAGAGAGAGAGAGAGAGAGAGAGAAAGAAAGAGAGAGAGAGCTGAGAGAGAAACAATGTAGAGAGAGAGAGAAAAGACATATAAATTGAGAGCCAGCGAAGAGAGAAGCCAAGTGAAGTGATAGAAAGGTAGAAGTCATGTAAAGGGAGAATGACTGTGCATGTGCGTGTGTGTGTGAGAGAGAGAAAGAGAGAGAGAGAGAGATAGAATCTGTTTAGTGCCAGAGCGGGAGAGAAAAGCTGAAAAATCATTTAAAGCAAGAGAGATGGAATAATGATTAGAGAGAGAATGAAAGAGAGAGACAGAGAGACAGAGAGAGAGAGAACGAGAATGAAAAAGAGAGAAAAAGACAGTGAAAGACAGAGAAAGACAGAGAGATAAAGAGAATTGAAGAGAGAGAGAGAGAGAGAAAGAGGGGTCATATAAAGGGAGGGATATAAAGGGTATGTGTGAGTAAGTGTGCTTGAGAGAGAAAGAAAGAGTTAAAGAATCCGTTCAGATAGAGCGAGAGAGAAAAGTTGAACAATCATTTAGTGCAAGAGAGATGGAATAATATTTAGAGAGAGAGAGAGAGTGAAATAGAGAGAGAAAGAAAGAAAGAGAAAAAGAAAGAGAGAGAGAGAAAGAGAGTGAAAGAATGAAAGAGAGAAATGATATGAAGTGACGATAGAAAAGAAGATGCCACTGCTTACCGAACAGTTTTTTCCTGTGTATCCTGCTTTACATGGGCAGTAATAATCATTCACCAAATCTTGACACCCTGAAGGTTGAGTTCCCGTTGCGTTACAAGGATTTGCCTTACAGTCGTCGATATTGGTGCATGTCGGACCTTTTGAACGCAGAAAGGAGAAAATGTTGCAATTTGTTATGCAATCATTTGTAAAGAATAAAGCCAAAGGTGAGAGACTTAACAACTTTATTTTCTGTTTCAATCTTCGAAAACGCCTTTAACGAATAGGAACAAGCGATGACAGACAAAACCGAGACAAAAAAAAAAGAAATGCTGTCTCTGTAGAGAAAAGATGATACAGGATGCAAAGAAAAACAAAATAAATAAAAAAAGACACGATCATCGATTACCACTTACCTGCAAATCCATCATGGCATTGACAAACAGCTGTCGTTGTACCATTGACACAGATTCCATTGCCACACGACTTTTCAGAACAAAAATCCTTTTTATATCGACAAAATGGATGGGCGTACTTAATCGCACACACACATGAGCCTGTTAATTCAATGCAACGGCCTCCATTTTCACAGTGGAACTCTGAACACGCGGACTTCACTTCACATGTGTTATTTTTCATTACTGCAAGAGAAAAAAGAATTCTAAGTTATTTTTGTCAATCGTTTCATGCTTGTAAATGCAAAATGAAGGGGACAATGACAATTACACATTGAATGAGGATGAGCCATGTGATTCATGACATCGATCATCGATGGAATCAGTTGTCTCTACATCTCCTGATTTATATCAATCGATCATTATCTATTATCAAACATCTCTCTCTCTTTCATATATATAAGTACATATACTTGGGTATATGTACTCTGTAGCTAAATGGTAGGATACAGGTTCGATTCCAGGCGGAAGAAACATATTTTCTATGAAATTTCTCGGACATTAAGGCCGGTAAATGTTGTTAATACTGTTTATTATAAACAGAGAATTTACTCAAATATTTGTATCTATAAAAATAACGAATAAATATATTAAAATAATTGTCGGACTGAGGGGGAACTCAGGTGTATGCATATTGCATTATATCACACACACACACACACACACACATATATATATATGTGTGTGTGTGTGTGTGTGTGTGTGTGTGTGTGTGTGTGTGTGTATGTGTGTTTAGTAGCGTTGATGTGAGTTTGTGACCTGGATTTCACGCTCTTTACGATTGTCAGACAATGTTTGTCTGACGATCGTAAAGGGCGTGAAACTCATATCAGCGAAAATAAATATGTTAGCTCTATCACTGATATTGAGCGCTTTCCAATAAGTATTGCGCATATATATATATAAATAATATATATAAAATTGCATATATATATATATATATATATATATATATATATATATATATATATATATATAAAAGTGAACATAGAAGTCAACACTTAGAGGCGACAGTCTGTTTCATACTATATGCAATCGTCAGGCCACATATGCTGTTATTTTTTCTCGGCTATTTATATATATATACGGGTTAGTGGTGCATTGTGGGTATTCTATTATGGCGGTTATTTTTTACCGGCAGTCGCTTTGTTTATTTATTTAGGTCAAATTATATTGCTCGTTTTTTTTTTTGTTTCTTATTTTATATATTTATTTCTTAACGTAGTAAAATTTGTTTATATCACGTATTTAACAGTTTTGTTTTGGTTTGAGAATTTAATTCAAGCTATTTGTTCAATTTTGGGGTTTGTTGTTGTAGTTCATTCTAACTATTATTTTTTTGGCGGGAACAGTTTTAATTTGGGATTGGTTTGTCTATTTACTTGGATGAATTTAGGTCAATTTATTTGTATATTTTGTTTTCAGTTTTCGGTTTTTAAGCAATATAGTATTTATTTATTTATTTTATTTTATTTTTATTAGTGTATTTGTTTGTTTTATTTTTTCCGTTTTTTTTTTTAGGTTACGTAGTAAAATTTATTTTCATGCCTGCATTTTGAGATGAGCTCGGATCTTTTATTTAATAATTTATTTTGGTCAGGAAAGTAATGATAGCTATTTTTTCCTCCAAGCAAAGTTTGCAAGTTTTTGATTGGTTGTTGTAGGCTGATGACTTTTCCTTATCTTCCAAGATATTTTTTGGTGTGATGTGCGTTTTGTTTTTTATTTCCCAGATATACTTAGAAAGCATAGTACTGTTCGCATATTTACTATTTGTGAACGATGTTTTGTGTGTATAATTTCTTTGCTTCCAGGGTCCTTCAGTTACTCCTATGTATACTTTTTTCTTCATTATCTGGTGATTTTATCGTAGCTTGGTATATTACGTTGTTTTTGTAAACAATTTCCGTTTAAGGGACATTCGTTCTTTATTCTGCAGTTGCACGTGGGTTTAATTTGTTCGTGTGGTTTGTTGATAACTTTCCTATTGTGCTTTTTTATTATTTGTGCCATGCTCTCGATGCAGCTGTAGCTGATTTTTACTGTGTTTTTGTTGAATATCTTGTGTAAGGTCTTTGATTCTGGGAAGTGTTTGTGTAAGAGTTTGAAGAATATTTTTCCTACGTTTGTTTTACGTTCTTGCTGTACGGTGGGTTGAACCATATGATATTTCTTCTCCTGTTGGTCTTTTTTGTATTCTGTGGTGAATATGTGAGTATTGCTGGGAATCCGCTATCTTTTAGGGCCGTTTCATAGTCTTTCTTAGCTTTGTTGAATAGGGATTCATTGGTGGAATTGTCGGAGAGCCTGCGGTTAATCGATTTTGGTATCTGTTTGATTATAGAAGGCGGATGGTTGGAAGATGTGTGTATGTAGAGTGGTTTATCGTTAGGTTTTCTGTATGGTTTATATGTGCCTTCTCTTAGGTTGTAGGTAACATCTAGGAAATCTACTTCGTTTAGATTAGTTTTATATCTATGTCGAATCCGTTATTTTTAAAAATCTTTATTATTGCTTTTCTAGTTTTGTCTGTGTTTTGTTTGTTACAGTTTCTTAAGATTATGAGACCGTCGTCCCTGTAGAGTCCTGTGTCGCCTCTAAGTGTTGACTTCTATGTTCACTTTTATATTTACACACGCTCTATCTCTGATATTGAGAACTTTATCCCATAAATATAGCACACCTTAAGACTATATTTCTTTATATATATATATATATATATATATGTATATTTATATATGTGTGTATATTTATTTATATTTATATACCTAGATATTAAGTATATATATATACATATATAAGGATACATATTATACACACACATATATATTATGACTTTAAAAATTATTTTAATGGATACTATTATTTGAGTAGATGATCCATTTAAGGTGATAAAATCTGTCGGATTAATAAATAAAAAAATTTGCTTCTTTAGAAAATTATATATATATATATATATATATATATATATATATATATATATATATATATATATATTCTAAAAATATATATATTCTATATTTCAGAAAATATCTCTAAATAAACAATGGATTTTATTTATTTAATAATCAGACAATATTTATTAATAACTTATAAAGAGATATTATATATATATATATATATATATATATATATATATATATATATATATTATAAATTAATTGATTTAAAATATGGTTTTTTCGCTACACAGTTCTAACCATGTTTCAAAAATGGAAGCTAAAAGCCCCGAATTTAATTTTGTAATTAAATTAAAGACATTACTGTTCTTTCTTTTTGTATATATATATATATATATATATATATATATATATAGTTGTATGGATATGAGTTTGAGACCCTGGGTTTCACGCTTTTGCAAACATCAGACAAACTGGTTTATTTTTTAAAAATTGAATCTCTTTATGCTTGTTTTGTTTGCTTATGTTTCAACATAAACATAAGCATAAACATTAAACCATATACTAAAGATTTATACAACTATAGATACATCAGCAAACAATCCGCCCACCATGCTAGACTACTGAATAAGATTTACATAAGTCGCTCCATATAGATCGTTTACCAACTCTAGCAATAAGGATATTTTGACAAACATGAAGGCAAATATGTAGAAGCACTATAAACAGTAACCATAAAATTAACCTCAAAATTTTAGCCAATAGCAATAAGGACGCCAACAAAAACCTTGTAAATTCAACGTTATATGGTTTAATCCGCCCTTCAACAAAAACGTCAAAACTAATATCGGATTTTTTTAAAAATTTAATCCATAAGGACTTTAGTTATTCCTAACACTAAGTAGGATTTTCAACAAAACAACGTCAAATTTAGCCACAGTTGTGCTCCAAAAATCGACGAGTATATATCACAAGTGTTCCATTTTAAATAAACGCTTCAACAATCTTCAAAACAACAACATCCTACTACTAATAATCGCAATTGCAGGAAAAAAAAAAAAAAAACAGACCGTGCGCAGTAAACGGCAAATGTATGTTCAAATCGTTAATTTATGATGCTGAAACCAAATGTAACCAGAGGTCTACTTTTACGTGAGCTCTACGTAAAACTATTGGAAATCGAGCTTCTACCGCCACCAAATGTCATTAGGCAATATCAAATATAGTAACAGCACTGCCTTCTCTAATAAAGTCTAACCACACCCGGGGGCAACATATATTAGTATTGATATTATTCATTTTTTACTAATATTTTTTTTATTTTATACTACATTTACTATACAAATATTATTAATATTAGACTGCAACGCATTTAACATTTTTGCTAATCTATTATTTCCATCATCTTATCATAACCATTTTTAATATAAAACTATTATTATTGTTTTTTTTTGTTCTTTTCTTTTACCTTACTAGTCTTACTATCAGAAATATGCTTATTTATTTACTTATCTATTTGCATTTATTATTTTTATATAATTATTTATTTGCCTTATTTATTTATTTACATCTTCCTATTTATATGGATTTTATTTTATTTTCATTGATATGTATTATTTTTATTAATACTTTAATTTTATTTTATCACGGCATATTTTATTATTATTGATATCACTTATTATGTTTAGTTTGTTAATATTAATATTAATAATATTATTAATTACTTGGACAAAAATAGAATTACCCACTTTGATTTCCAAATGTTTTTTTTTCTTGTTTATTATTTTTGACAACAAAAATTTCTTTAAATTAGAACTTATAATTCTTCTTTACAAACTCATTTTCAATCTTAAATTTTAATCTGGGCCAAAATCCAAATCCAAAATTAAACTACAATCCATTTAAATATTTTAACAGCAATAATAATGCACTCTAACAATAAAGTATCTCGCGATAACCAGAAATAGTTAAAAACCAATGTTACCCCCCGACTCCCACCAAAAAAAATAGGCACTTGAAAATTGCGTCGGCATGAAACTCAGAGTTGTGCAATCAATGTAAGGCATTATCTATATTTCTTAATATATAATAGCTCTCCTATTTTGCATTGAGCATTGTTTTTTCTTACACTATATATATATATATATATATATATATATATATATATATATATATATATGTGTGTGTATGTGTGTGTGTATGTGTGTGTGTGTGTATACGATCGCTCGCTCGTACATTTATCTGAGAGAATTAATTTGGGGGCATAGTATATGCATTAATTGAATTAATGATTTTTTTCCGAGCGTTCTCTTCCAATAGTTTCTTATCTCGCACTTCTCGCATGTGGAATTTTTACTTTCTTTTCAACTACGATCTTCAAAAATTGAAATGCAACGTCAGTGATCATCTTATGACATTTTGAATCCTAATCTTTTATCGTCCTTTCTCCATAATTATTTTTCTTCGGTTTCTTTCATTCTGTGAAACTTCTTACGTCTTAGAGGCTTTAACGCCTTGCCTGCGGTGAAATGATTAAAAACGAATAGCTAATTTCAAGGGTTTTGGTTGTGCTAGTACAAACAGTGTGTAAGTTGCTAATACGGAAACATATTTTAATTTCAGAACACGGCCAGTACATTATGGCCATACTTGATGTTTTTAAAGGTTGATTTTCTGTTGTTTTTATTAATAGTGTTAATTGCCCTTTCTCCAGCCAGAGTTGTGTTTTATGATCAGGTTTTCAATGGGTATTTTAAGTTCCGAATTGGTATGTTTTTGTGTTGATTTAAATGGGTTCTTATAAAGGTGTGGACTGAGTAGGCCTAATTGCTTTTTTTTTTTTACAATGGCTACCATCCAATACTAGAGTGCATTTCTGTTCTGTTATCAATCCATTTCGGGATTTATTCTTTTCCCAAGAGGTTACAGGAATTACGAAGAGCCTGATGCAAACAATCAAAAAGAGAGAATTGAATAATTTGAGGACACATAATAAGGAATTTAAGCTTGGAGAGTTTAACACGCATAAGGCGCTACGAAATCAAAACAAGCAGAGGAAAGCAGTGAGTAATACATTTAACAACTTTCACCAAATAAACGGAGAAACGTATAAAACAGAGACAAACTAGAATCGTACAGGCGCAAAGTTGTTACACTGTCACGACACCAAATGTGGATCGAACAAATATTTGGCGAATTGTGGCAGTTGTTCCATAGTGATTTATATCAGCTGTCTCGATTTTTTCCGAAAGTCAAAAACCGTCTTTTCACCAGACAAAAAGTTTTCTTTTAATATTAATCTGTGCAACGCAATGGGATATGTTGTTGATTATTTGTAAGTGTCGGAGAGCGTAGAAGGAATGAGAGATATTCCTTACTCTAGCCCTTTTCCAGAGAATCCGATCACCACCACATAAAAAACCACATTGAAGAATTTTGAAAGGATGAAGAGCTCTTTTTTTTTTCACCAGGAAATATCTCATTTTCGCTAGTTGCTGATTCGTCAATTCACGGTCCAGTGAAAAGCTACTGCTAGATTTGCTAGATTTGTCGGCGCCAACTATCAAATATATTGCATTTCAGAAATACGTTGCATTTCCAACAGCCTGATTGTCCGCTTTTTATTATTTTTAGTTAAGTCTTTTTTTCTAATCCTTATATTATTCTTCTACTTTTTTTTGACCACAGGATATTACAATGAAATCTATGAAAAAGCGCAATTGTCCACGATTGACAAGAGAGAGAGAAAGATACAATTCTGTCTCTTCTATGAAGAGGTGACATTATTTTTTTTAATCTTTCTTCTATAATTAATATAATCGAGATAACTATGTTGTATCCGAAGCCTTTGTATTTATTCTTACCTTTGTTAACGGCACATTGGAATCTCATTTGGTACATCGAACACTCGCTCTCATTTCCAGACTTGCAGGAAAGATTGTCGACAACACAGGGCGTGATTAAGCTGAGGGACATGGCGTGTTTATCAAGACGCATCTTATCATCTACCTGTTGGCTTGACTTGCATTGCGTCACCGAGGTCAGCATGCCATCACAAACATTAATTCCAATCTGAAACGAACATATATACTAAACCTGAAATTCAGCATAAGGAATAAACATGGACTACTATTATATCTTACCCACAGATGTAATAATGATTGATTCCTTTCTATAGACTTCATATATACGATACACTTTGAATAATTATAAGAGACAATTTTGTCACAAAAAATAATAAAATACTACAGTCCATTAAGCTTGGGATTTGTCGAAGAAACACATCACGGATACCAAAAACAATCCATTAAGTTTCTAATGAGACTGATTTTGGTATCACCTACCATACATTGAAATAATTTCTAAATTACCATCTCTGAAATATCAGATATTTCTAGAATGGTGTGCATGTAAACTATTTCTGGGACCTCTACATCAATTCGCCTGGTGCTCACAATAATAAACATATTAAGTTTCAGAAGCATTAGTAGCTGCATACCCGAACATCAATTTAAATTCAGACTTACATCATTTAACATTTCTTGCACTTCTAGAGGTTTGACAGAATCTGTAATGCTGTACCATGGCGTCCAGAAATTACCTACAAAGAAATAATAATAATAATAATAATAATAATAATAAAGAAACTGGTATGAACACCACCCAGACCCGGTTACGGAGATAGGACCTGTTACAATTCTATGGGACTACACAATACACACTGACAGAACAATCAAGGCCAACCGGCCAGATATTGTTATTAAAGACCACAAACAAAAACGGTGCCTCCTTATTGATATGGCAGTCCCTGCTGACTGCAATGTATCTTTGAAGATATTCAAAAAGTTGTCAAAATACAAGGACCTTGAAATAGAAATCTCGAAAATGTGGCATATGGGAACATCAACAATCCTTGTTGTAGTTAGAGCCCTAGGACTGGTTGGAAAAATTGCAGTAGACTAATTGAAGGGATACCTGGAAGTCCATGCCTCAAGGAGATACAGAAAATTGTTCTAACAAGTACAGCCCACACCTTACGAAGGGCTTTATCTATGTAATTTAATTTTTTTTTTTTTTTTTGTCAGTGGAAAGTGTAATGACGCAATTTCTAACCTTAGGTCCCTGGGCGGGACCCAGAAAGAAATGTGTAAACGCCAGAAATCAAAGAAAATAATAATAATAATGCGACAAACACGCTTTATTACAAATGAGATATGAATATTGCTGCCACATCTGGTCCGCTGCTCCTGCTATATATTTAGAGATTGCTGATAAAATCCAAAGAGGAATCTGCAATGTTATCGGTCCTAACCTGGCGTCTCGGCTTCAGTCTCTTTCTCACCGATGCAGCGTAGCTTTTCTGAGCCTTTCATGTAAATACTTGCATGATAATTGTTCAGAAAAACTTTCCTGTATGGTACCTAGATTAAATGAATTTAAGCGCGGGAAGGTCTCATCATTTTACAGTTGAAATGGCTAGACGTAAACGTAAGTTCTATCGCAACTTCCTGCTTGTATAACTCCGGTCAACTTTGATCTTTAAAAATTTAAATGCAATGTCAACTGTTATCTTCTGTCTTCTTAATTCTTGTTCTTTTATTTTCTCTCTCCTTAATAATGTTTTGCCATAATCTGTAACACTCAGTAATCCATTGCATCCTAATTGCTTTATTGCCTTGCTTGCAGTTAAATGATTAAAAATGAAACTAATTCCTCATCCATTTGTGCAATCTGTTCACAAAATGTGTCTAAATAAGCAAATTAATGTACGAATAACATGTGCATATATGATTGTTGTTTACGTATATTATCACAGTGAAACACGAATTGTTATTGTCATATGGCGCACTTTACAAACGGTGAGAAAAAAAAGGTTGCTCATTTCTTTTCTAGAGAATCCTACTTTTGCCATCGCCGACTGACAAGAGAAATTGATAATCTTGAACACAAGAAGTTTTGTATGAAAATCATTAAAACGAAGTCTACAAACAAAATGAGCAACAGAAAAAAAATTGAAAGAATTTAAAAAGAAAACTGAAACAAAAATAAATAAAGGAAAATAAGAAAAACATCTCTGGTTTTCTGGGATCAATTATTTATTTTCTTTACTATGGATGTTCAAATGTGTTAAGTAACGTCATTTATTTCATTTCAAACATTCTCATTTACACCATGCAGTTATCTGTTGAGTACTTGCAACTTTATTAGTAATAGAATCTCCCATATGACAGTATCAATGAAAAGTCTTACCTGTGGGTTTCTGGCATTCTTTAGTGAAAACCTGGCAGCAAGCATCAGTTTCATTTTTATAGAGAAGACACGTTTTTATAGATTTCTGGTAAGCAGCAGATTTGCATTGTGAATCTTCAGAACATTCAGAGATGCATGCTTTGCTGGAAATATTCTCAAACTTCATATAAAAGCTTTTATCCGAGCTATTGCTTTTTGTAATGGAGAACTGACAAAATTCATCTGAAAGTAAAATGGACGAATTTAAAAGCTGACCAACAAATTATTTACTGAGAACAAAAATTGGTGTTAGGGCGTTTGGTAGCAAACGTACCACACAAAATCGACAAAGGAGAAAATAAAAACTGAATTAACAGTTTAAAATCGAATGTTTATTCGAAGATTTGATTAGGCAGGAAACTCTAGACATACTCGTGAAAGCAGTAAAAGCGGAGACGATGCTTGCAAACGACAATGCACATCTCCTAAATGGCACTTGGACCCAAACATTTCCACGCTCTAGGAGATATTTAAAAAATATTAGTGTTATTTTTTGAAATGTCATAGCCCTTCAGGGTGTAAGTAATTGTAGCTCTCCATAAAACCCTATTCATTTATTATCCGATAATTGTCTTTCTCGGAGGAAGGCCGAAGAATAAACAAAGTGCGATGGATGAACTGTCGTCTAAATTATGCAAAAATGGAAATAACGTTGACATCTCAACAGATATATATATATATATATATATATATATATATATATATATATATATATATATATATATATATAAACATTACGCAAAAAAATCTTGAATGAGTGAAGAGTAAATTTATTCAATAAAATCGTCATTGGTTTTCACCACGGCCCCCAGACGACTGCTGAACCTCCTGCAACTCTTCTGGGCGGTCTCCTTGTTTAAGTTGGTTAATACAACCATAATCCTTGCCTTCAATTCACAATTGGTCTTAAATGGAGTTTTGTAGGTATTTCCATCAACTGCGTTCTACGCATAATAATCAAAGTAGTTAAGGAGGGTAGGTGGCCAATTGTAAGGGATGATCTGGTAGCAAGTTAAACTGATGGCGTGGCCAGACATAAACACTTCCAGCAGCAAAACTCTGAAACAAAGAATCACAACATATTCAAGGCATTTGATGTAAGTTTCCGTGTTCACTACCGGGTTCAAATACCGGATAATCCGACCTAAAAAAGAATGCGATTTTACAGAATGCGATGTTAGTAACATTTTCTGAGTTTATAAACATTCATGAAATAAACGCTTGACAAAACAAGAGAGACACATTGATTCTTTCATCCATTTTCAAAATTATATATCATTTCAGTCATAAACGACAAAGCAATGAGAGCATATTTATTAGTCTGTGCATATGCAATGACTCATGGGTCAAAGGGTATGATACTCTCTAGTGGAACGATTGGTCACGGGTTTAAATCCCGGACTAGACAGACTGATAGAATGCAACTCTAAATTCCAATATTCTAAGTAACATTTTCGTAGATTATTAAAATTTATGAAGTAAAAGTCTTACATTGGCTGAGAGATTCATTGATTTTTCATCCATTTTCAACATCTACATTCATTGCAATCAGAAACGACACAGAGATGAGAGCATATTTATTAGACACTAGAATGTAATGGCTCGTGGGTCTACGGGTATGATACTCTCTTCGGGTGCGAGTTGTCACTGATTTAAATCCTAGATGAAACCGACGGAGGAATAGACCCGCTTCGTGCTCAAACTTTTAGTAAAAATTACGTAGATTATCCAAATAGATGAAGTAAAACTCTGACACTGGCTGTGAGATTCCTTGATATTTCATCCATTTTCCAAACCTCTCTTCATTGCACTCTGAAACAAAAGACCAATGAGTGAATACTTATTACACCATTGGCGGTTAATGGTTCGTTAGTCCTGGGATATGATACTCGTTTCGGGTGTAAGTGGTCCCGAATTCGAATCCCCGACGCATGAATAGACGCACTTCATTCTCTTACATTTAATTACATTTTCGTAGATTACCCAAATAGATGAAGTAAATGTCTGTCACTGGCTGCGAGATTTTTTGATATTTCTTCTATTTTCAACATCTCTTTTCATTTCAGTCAGAATCGATAGACTGATGATCATGTCGCAGTGTGTCCAATCACCACTCCCACTTTTTCGTGACCAACGCCGGATATGCTTTCCGGTAGAGAAAGGTCACGACCCTTGTGTGCCAAAAATAGCAACGACATCCTTTCAAACTGACAGAAAAACACAAAACTCAATTTTCGCCACTAAACAAAAATAAAAGGCTTTAATTTTGAACCGAAATTAATTTAAATACAGTCAACAAACACCGAACACACTTTTGACTGTAATTAATACGGACCGAAATTAATTATATTCATTTACTTGTTTAGCGTCACCGCTTCTCTTGTATGAACCGTCATATGAAGATGCCCTAGACTTCGGAAGCAGCCAGGCTGTTATGACCAAACTTTGACCAGTGACCCTATGCGGAAACGCTTGGGTTTTCCCACGAAAAACGACCTTGTGTCACGTCTTGACACCGTGGGAGTCAAGTAATCCCACGAAAAACGACCTTGTGTCACATCTTGACCTCGTGGGTGTCAAGTAAATACCGCCGGCCACGGAAGCAGCCCGGCCTTCGGGCTGGGTTGCGACCATGGCAAAGTCTAGTTTGGACCATATCAGGACCTGCTAAGACAAGCCAAGACCAGAACTTGACTAAGCTTTGACCAGCTTGGACATGTTATGACCAAAACATTGACTAAGCCTTGACCAGCTTGGACATCTTATGACCAATCTTTGACCAGTGACCCTATGCGGAAACGCTTGGATTTCTCCCACGAAAAACGACCTTGTGACACGTCTTGACCCCGTGAGAGTCAAGTAATCCCACGAAAAACGAACTTGTGTCACATCTTGACCTCGTGGGAGTCAATTAAAAACCGCCGGCCAAGGAGCAGATCGGCCTTCGGTCTGGTTTGCGACCATGGCAAAGTCTAGTTGAGACAAATCAGGACCTGCTAAGACAATCCAAGACCAGAACTTGACTAAGCTTTGACCAGCTTGGACATGTTATGACCAAAACATTGACTAAGCCATGACCAGCTTGGACATGTTATGACCAATCTTTGACCAGTGACCCTATGCGGAAACGCTTGGGTTTTTCCCACGAAAAACGACCTTGTGTCCCGTCTTGACCCCGTGGGAGTCAAGTAATCCCACGAAAACGATCTTGTGTCACATCTTGATCTCGTGGGAGTCAATTAAAACCGCCGGCCAGGGAGAGCCCCGGCCTTCGGGCTGGGTTGCGACCATGGCAAAGTCAAGTTTGGACCATATCAGGACCTGCTAAGACAAGCCAAGACCAGAACTTGACTAAGCTTTGACCAGCTTGGACATGTTATGACCAATCTTTGACCAGTGACCCTATGCGGAAACGCTTGGGTTTTCCCACGAAAAACGACCTTGTGTCACGTCTTGACCCCGTGAGCAAGTAATCCCACGAAAACGACCTTGTCTCACATCTTGACCTCGTGGAGTCAATTAAAACCGCCGGCCAGGAGCAGCCCGGCCTTCGGGCTGGGTTGCTACCATGGCAAAGTCTAGTTTGGACCATATCAGGACCTGCTAAGACAAGCCAAGACCAGAACTTGACTAAGCTTTGACCAGCTTGGACATGTTATGACCAAAAACATTGACTAAGCCTTGACCAGCTTGGTCATGTTATGACCAATCTTTGACCAGTGACCCTATGCGGAAACGCTTGGGTTTTTCCCACGAAAAACGACCTTGTGTCACGTCTTGACCCCGTGGAGTCAAGTAATCTTTACGAAAAACGACCTTGTGTCACATCTTGACCTCGTGGGAGTCAATTAAAACCGCCGGCCAGGGAGCAGCCCGGCCTTCGGGCTGGGTTGCGACCATGGCAAAGTCAAGTTTTGGACCATATCAGGACCTGCTAAGACAAGCCAAGACCAGAACTTGACTAAGCTTTGACCAGCTTGGACATGTTATGACCAATCTTTGACCAGTGACCCTATGCGGAAACGCTTGGGTTTTCCCACGAAAAACGACCTTGTGTCACGTCTTGACCCCGTGGAGTCAAGTAATCCCACGAAAAACGACCTTGTCTCACATCTTGACCTCGTGGAGTCAATTAAAAACCGCCGGCCAGGGAGCAGCCCGGCCTTCGGGCTGGGTTGCGACCATGGCAAAGTCTAGTTTGGACCATATCAGGACCTGCTAAGACAAGCCAAGACCAGAACTTGACTAAGCTTTGACCAGCTTGGACATGTTATGACCAAAACATTGACTAAGCCTTGACCAGCTTGGTCATGTTATGACCAATCTTTGACCAGTGACCCTATGCGGAAACGCTTGGGTTTTTCCCACGAAAAACGACCTTGTGTCACGTCTTGACCCCGTGGGAGTCAAGTAATCTTACGAAAAACGACCTTGTGTCACATCTTGACCTCGTGGGAGTCAATTAAAAACCGCCGGCCAGGGAGCAGCCCGGCCTTCGGGCTGGGTTGCGACCATGGCAAAGTCTAGTTTGGACCATATCAGGGCCTGCTAAGACAAGCCAAGACCAGAACTTGACTAAGCTTTGACCAGCTTGGACATGTTATAACTAATCTTTGACCAGTGACCCTATGCGGAAACGCTTTGGGTTTTTCCACGAAAAACGACCTTGTGTCACGTCTTGACCCCGTGGGTGTCAAGTAATCCCACGAAAAACGACCTTGTGTCACATCTTGACCTCGTGGGAGTCAAGTAAATACCGCCGGCCAGGGAGCAGCCCGGCCTTCGGGCTGGGTTGCGACCATGGCAAAGTCTAGTTTGGACCATATCAGGACCTGCTAAGACAAGCCAAGACCAGAACTTGACTAATCTTTGACCAGCTTGGACATGTTATGACCAAAACATTGACTAAGCCTTGATCAGCTTGGTCATGTTATGACCAAACTTTGACCAGTGACCCTATGCGGAAACGCTTGGGTTTTTCCCACGAAAAATGACCTTGTGTCACGTCTTGACCCCGTGGGAGTCAAGTAATCCCACGAAAAACGACCTTGTGTCACGTCTTGACCCCGTGGGAGTCAAGTAATCCCACGAAAAACGACCTTGTGTCACATCTTGACCTCGTGGGAGTCAATTAAAAACCGCCGGCCAGGGAGCAGCCCGGCCTTCGGGCTGGGTTGCGACCA